GGGACTGTGGGCTTCAGAGATGGGGAGAAAGCTGGCTGCCCGCTCACTGTTTTCCAGGAATCACACCCATGCTGCAGCTCATTCGCCACATCACCAAGGACCCCAATGACAGGACCAGGATGTCCCTCATCTTTGCCAACCAGGTCAGTTCCTGCTGAGCTTGCAGTGGTAGGATGGAATGTTTGCTGAGCTGGGCTCTTGTTTTCATTTCTCCTCCATTGACTGAGCTCATGCTGCTTGGGTGCCTGTGGCTGTGGGAGGGCTTAGCGGGATCAACAGAGCTGCTGGCAGCTGGCGAAGCTGAGTCCAGGCCTGCTTTTTGCTTGTATTTAACTCTTTTGTGTCTCCTCAACCAACCCTGAGCCCGGAGCACTCCTTTCTTGCTTAGTATGTATTGCTGTGTTTTTGCTAAGTACAAAATTACAGATGTCCTCAGTGGACATTTGAGAAAATACAGAATATAAATATGTTTACTTATTTTTTTTTCTATATATGCTATATATTTTTAATTTATATATATTTTTTCACTCAGCATTACCACACAGGCATTTTCTTCTCATTAAGATGCTTTATAAATATTTTCATCATAGTCTCTATCAAGTTGCGCCATAATCTACTAACTTCTACATTCAAGCTGTTTTCAGTTATAAATAATATGGTGATGAATATTTGTGCCTACGCTTGATTACATTTTTAGATTATTTTCTAAAACAGAATCCCAGAAGTGGAATTACTGGGATGAGAATCATGAAGAGTTTTAAGATCCAGGCCTTCTGTGCAGTCTCTTTGAGGCTGTGACAGGTTATTTTTGGCTTTGGCTCCTTTTTCCCCAAATGAAACTCCAGACTGTTTTCTCTCCTTCACATATCTAGTGCTGTTCTACCACAGGATTTTCTGAGCTCATTACATTTCTTGCAGAAGATCCTGGGCCTGCAGTGAGCTTGTTCCACTTGGGTTTGCTGTGCTAGAGCTCATTGTAGATGTAGCAGGTAGGGCTGGAGCTCTGAGTGAAGCCACCTTGGCCAGTGCTTGGCTAAGGTCCTTCTAGCTGGAGGCAGTCATTACAGCTCTGTGGGAACCTACATCCTACGGCCAACTCCATCCACAAGACAGAGGGTTTGATCTGCAGGAGCAGTAGCAGAACTGTTGTTTGCCCTGGGAGTTGGCAGCCAGCACTCCAACTGGAGTGGCGGCAGCTTTGGAAAGAGTGTCCTGACCAGTGTAGTCAGTCTGGGGAACAACAGGATGGCCCTGGAGGGGCTTTTCTAGTGTTGCTTCTTTTCTAGACAGAGGAGGATATCTTGGTCAGAAAGGAGCTTGAAGAAATTGCGAAGACTCACCCAGACCAGTTCAACCTGTGGTACACCCTGGACAGGCCTCCCATTGGTACGATATCCAATGCCCTCACCCACCACGGGTCAGCTTCAACCCTTGACTACTTTGAGGACTGGTCTTTGTTTCTTTGTTTTTGTTTTATAGGACCAGATATGGGGGTGAAGCCTTGGGTTTTGGCTTCAGATGAGAAATGTGAGAAATTGAGGGAGAGAGGATTTGGGATGGCTTGCTGTTAAGGGCAATCAAGAGCAGGTGTCCAGTATACCAGCAACACCCCACATACTGCACTGAACATCAAAAGGGACACTGCCCCTGGCCACTCTGAACAGACACCCAACTCCACACGGCCATCACACACACACCTAATATGGGCACTGACCCCTTCACACTCACACCTCTGCTTACGGCCACCACACCTCTCACCACCCACCTTACCTGGACAGCAGTCTTCACATGCTGAGCCCCCAGACAGCTGCTGCAGCCCCAAACAGCATCCCAGCAACCACGGTGCACAGAGCACCCCACACTGCACCCAGCTGTTCCTGCTTTTCATACAGCTCCCTGCTCAGCAGAGTGAGCTACCCAACTGAGCAATTCTGAGCAGTTCCACTAACACCAGGCCACACCCTGCTGGACAACTCCAGCTGGCTGCATTGATTCACACACCTCGGTATACTTCATTGTGTTCTCCTTCCTTGTCATTGCTGACAGCTGACAGACGGGGGGTGGGGCTCAGGTTCCCTGCAGTGAGCCTGGGTCCTGGGGTGACTGCTGCAGAGGGCTATTTACCAGTTCTGAGACTTTTGGCAGGGAGCAGTAGTACAGAAACTTCTAAGCCTTTGTAGAGTGGCCTGTCACCACCTGCCTGGCTGAGGGTGGGTGTGCAGGCGGCCTGGGGTCAGGAACTCCACCTGGCATCCCAAAGCTTTTTCCTGCATCTGCTTCATTTCAGACTGGAAGTACAGCTCAGGCTTTGTTACCGCTGACATGATCAAAGAGCACCTTCCTCCTCCAGGGAAGTCCACACTCATCCTGGTGTGTGGCCCGCCGCTCCTGATCCAAACAGTGGCTCACCCTAACCTGGAGATGCTGGGCTATACCCAGGACATGATTTTCACCTACTAACACCTCCATGTGCTCAGCAAATTTACATGTCCCTTTTCATCTGTTTCAGAGTGAGTTCAATTTTACCACGTTAAACTGGGATGTTTTCAAAAGTGCCTTGCCATGTACTTGCGTGCACACACTGGTTCTCCTCTCTTTTGGGTGTGGGCTTGACAAGAAGGGCTCAAGGGGCTGGAGACTGGCTACTGAGCCCTCCTTGCTTGGAGGCTGGAAAGAGCTCCATTTCAGTAGCTTTCTTTGTGGTTTTGTGAAATAAACTCAAGTACAAAGCAGATAGCCCATGAAGTGTGGCTCTGTGCGGGACCTGGCAGGCAATCAGGAGGTCTTGGCCTGCCCTGTGAGTTGGCTTCTGCATGCCCATGGGGGTCAGAACTGGCAAGTATCAGGGCAGTTCCCAAAAAAATCCAAGTGGGGTCACATCAACTCTTAAGACTCTCTCCATGGCATGGTAGGGGTGGTTATATACAGAAACGTCTCAACTTTCAAAATCAGGTTTCAGAAACTGTGCCTTCAATCCTTTGTATCATGAAACCCAAATGATATGAGTGACCACGTGGCCATCTGCGGTTCATGGCCAGGATGACACACTGCTGCTCTGTTACCTGTGAGTGAGTAGAGCTGCTTCTGCCCTGTTTCAGAAGTCTTATAACTAGCCAGAGATTCTGTAGGGATTTTGTTCTCCAAATTATAGATGAGGAAACTAAGACTTGAGGACTGTGTTCCCAGGTCATTCAACCAGTAGGTAGCAAAGCTGGCCTTAAACCTGGGTCTGCTTTATTCTAAGTTGTTCTTCTTTTCACAAAAACTGGCATAATGGTGGCAATGTTGGAACTTGGTGTCAATGGATTTCTTACTCAGTGTGCATGTGCATGAGGGAGAGGGGAGGGGAGAGAGGAGAGGAACAGGGCTCTGGGGAGCTCTCTGTACAGCTGTGTTTTGCCCTCAGGTGGCCAAGCACAGAGATGGCCTCACAGAGGGCCTGTGGGGGTAGAAGAGAGGGGTGGCCAACCTTACCCATCCACCTGTTCAGTTGCCTCCTTGGGGATCCTTCACTGCTTTCAAGGGAGTCCCCACTCTGGCCACCCCATCTCTCCAGGACATACTCCAGGGCTTGGCTCCCAAGGCCTTTCTTGATTTGGCTCCTGCTGACTTTATCAGATTTTTCTTTCCCTGGGCTCCCAACTCCAACACCATTCTCTCACCTAGTTGTTCTCAACTGAGGGTAATTTTGTTGCTCAGGAACATATGACAAAGTCCAAAGACATGTTGGTTGGGGTTCAAAGAAGGGGTACATCTACCCTCTGTTGGCATTTACAGGGTAGAGACCAAGGATGCTGCTAAACATCTTAAAAGCCACAGGATAGCCTCCATCACAGAGAATTATGCAGCCCAAAGTGACAGCAGCACAGAGACCAAGAAACCATCTTCTAGCCTACCAACTTTTGGCAATTCCTAGGTTGTGCTAGGCTGTTTCAAGTCTGTCTACCTGGAATGCCCTTCCCCTTTGGCATACGTGGGGAAGTATGATTCATCTTTCCAAATTCAAGTGTCACCTCTTCCATGGAACCTATTCTACTCCTTCCCCAAACCCCCATTAAAAATGACAACATGCTCTTTTAGGCTGCAAAGAAACTAATATTGGAGCATCCATAACCTTTGGCACAGTCTTGTTTGAAACTGGTCTGTACTACCCCACTAGACTGTAAGCACCTTTAGGCAGGGACCTTGGCATTCATGCCTATATCTCTGGCCCCAGCATGGAGGGTACATACCACACACATGAAGGAGTGTGGATGGGAAACTTAAGAGCATGGATCTCCTTGGCAACTGGAGGCCTGTCTATAAAGGAGCCAGCCCAGAGCAAGTGCTCCAGGTTTGTGGTAAGGATTGGGTATAGCAAGACAACAAGGGACTTCAAGGCAAGCTGTGCTCTGGCTCAAGGGCAGACACGTGGGAGAGCTGACCTCTAACTGGATCATGTGGGAAGGCTTCCTGAGAGGTGGTCTCTTTGCCAAGCCTTGAGAGACAGGATTTTGCCTCATGAAGTGGACTAGGAGAAAAATGCATTCCCCAGTGAGGGAAGGGCCTGAGTAGACACCTGGAGGGAGGAAAGACTAGAGTGTCTGGAGAGGAAACAGACATGTTTGGGAAGTTGGTGAGTTTGTGGTGGAAACCTGGAGCTTGAGGTGCCCGAGGGCCTTCCACTAGGGGGTGCTGTTTAATCAGACATTATGCTTGAGCTGCTTGGAGGGCAAGGCCTGGGAGGCTGTGTGTCTGCTTGGGTGGAGAGGGCACGGCGTGGTGTTGGGCTTGCCTCTGCTGAGACGCTAGGAGGGTGCACTGATACCCATTGCAGATGAGGGGCGATGGAGTCAGGCAGGACTGTGGAAAGGTGCCTCATGTTTTTCCCACTCACACCCTAAACACCCGCCTTGTTCCGCCACAGTCCCGTGAATGGAAAGGCACGTTCCTGTGAAGCAGCCCCGGAGGGAGTTCCTGGTGATCATGTCACAAAACGCAGTCACTACAGAACATTCAAAACAGGTTTTCAGAACTTTTTTTCCAGCAGGTTTTATGAACTAACAGCTCTTCCCCTCAGGTGTGAGAGCTTCCAGGCTGTCACCAGAAATAGCACAAGGCATCGAGTCTGTGTGCTGACAACTCACTGCCCTCCCACAAAATGGTCTGCAGTCCGGGAATAAAAGTACAAAAGGTATAAGGCCTGTGGTGAAGAGCGCAGCCCGGTTGAAGACACACATGAACTCTGGGGCCACCCCTGGACACCTGTCCCACAGCTCTGCTTCGTGCCTGTCGGCACCCTGTCCAAGATGCCCTGCCAGTCCGACCGGGCTTGCAGAGGGGGCTGCCAGCTCCCCACAGAAGCAAAGGCTCTGGGCCCCCACACGTGCCTCCCTGGGCTCGCAGCCATGAAGAGAGTCATCTCCAGTCATCAGAGTTGGGGACAGGCAGATGAGAGTCATTCAGCAGCTGGTCCTGGCTCAGCATTGTCTGAAAGGACACAGCCGAAGGGGCAGTTCAACAGAGTTTTGGTTCAGGCTGCCCTGCAGCAGCTACATGGGAAGCAGAGGGCCCAGGGTGAGGGCTGCATCTGATGCAAGTGCACTATAAGTTTATGGTGTCCCAAGAAACCCTGAGTATTAGGGTTTAATAGAATAAACACACTATTAAGATAAAAATAAATTGTTCATCTTAGAAATACATTTCCCATTTTCAGGCTACCAAAGGCCTAGATCATAAGGGCAAGTGTGGGCAGATTCATGCATGGGCCAATAAATAAAAAAGTTAAATAAAAGTGATCCTGTTTGGAGTCAGTGAGACTTTCCTGTTTTGTCCTTGGATACAAAGAGACTCTTGTGTCCCTGTCCTTGTCCTGTCTTCCCAATGTGCCATGCTAGACAAGCAGATAAAGTACAGTGACGAGGCCTTGATGGGAACAGACACTGCAGCCAACAGGCTCAGTGATGGGATGTCCAAGAACTAAAAGGCCTTGGGAGTTATGGGCCTTCAAAAACAAATCCTATGCACTGTGACTGCGCTCTGTGGCTGGCTTTTCCTGCCAGCTCTAGTCTGCCTGTAAGCCTGGCAAGGAGGATGTCATTAGCCCTGCTTTACAGATAACTAAGCCAAGGCTCAGGAGAGAATGGCACTTGAGGTCACAGAGCTAGTAAAGTCAGAGCAGGGACTTGAGCCACACTCCAAAGCTGCTTTTCGAGGCCAAGCTGTTTCCCCATTATATGGTTTGTCCTTTCGGGCATGCCAGGATGCGCTCACAAGCCTGCGAACACATTGTGATACCCCCAAAGTCAGAGGCAAGCTAGGATATGCATGTGTCTCTGGGCAGAGGGTGGAAGCGTCCACCAGGAGAGGATGCAGGCTGGGCTCTAGACTGATGAGACAGGTGATCCAGAGCTGCTAAGCATCTTGGTTTCCTCACCTCTGAGCCTGGGAATAGGACCTGAGACCTAGTGTGTACTTTAGCTGGCTTTGGCTAAAGGCCCATGAGCCTCCCCATTGCCGGTAGGGGCTCAAGATCCAGCAACAGGCCAACGGAGGAGGCCCCTGGGCTGCTTTCTGCCTCGGGGCTGGCTCAGGCTCAGGCTGTGACCCCAGCACTGAGCACCCTTCTTTGCTGTCCCCCGGGCCTTGTACACTACCATACCAACTCACTGGGCCTCCCTGGCACCAGTCTGACTGTGGGGAGAAGGTCAGAGTCCTACCGTAAGGCGGTGAATGTCTTGGGAGAGGAGCCCTATCTGCGTCACGGTACCTTCCGAAGGTGCCATCTGTAAAATGAGCAGCAGCTTGGTCAGCATACATGGATGCAGCTCGTGATTCACAGAGATGGCATGCAAGTCCTGTCCTGCTCAAGCCTGGCTTCTCCAGGGCATGCTCCCCTGGAGGGATGGGCAAGGAGTGGGCCAGGCCCTGAGGAGTGACAGGTGGGTGGAGCACATGCTGCCGCTTCTATTCCTGGGGAAAGGCATCAATGTCCCACACTCCATGCACACCTCTCCTGGGGCCCCAGTGGGCACTAGCATTCAGGGTACATAGAGGCAGGACATAGGCAGGGCTTGTCAGAAGCAGCCCTTCTGCATGTGGTCAGTGTTCCAGCTACTTCCAGGAGCAGAGAACAGTAGGAATGAACATCTTCAGGATGCTAAATAGACCCACATTAACCAGGCAACAGAGCCCAGACACCAATGCCCTGGTATAGGTGGCCATCCTCCCCAGTAACCAAGAGCCTCCCTTCTCCCCCTCCTTCTCAGGTAATGTTAGTCTCTTCCTTCTTCCCTAAACCTACTTAGACACTGTAGATTTGGAAGCATTCTCTGTAAATTTGAAGGGCACCAAGTGTAACCCCTCCCTTGTTTTATAGGTAGGAAAACTAAAGCACACAAAGGGAACAGGACTTACTTGAGGGTACAGAGAATCAGTGGCAAAACAGTTCCATGCAGGGTTTGAAAACAGGCACATGCCGAGATCTCTGTAACGCGACTTAAGAAACAAGGGACTAAGCCTGCCCTGACTGGCTCTACAACTGCAATGGCCAGGTATCAGCCTGAATGCGCGCTTGTCATCCAGCAGACTTGGGTACCAGGATCTAACAGCAGCACTGCCAGCTGGCAAGCTTGTCCCCACATCTCTCACCTCTGAGGAGGCAGTGGCCTGCGGCAACAGACCATGCCTGAGGCTGCTGGTAGTTTAAGAAGCAAATCTTAGCAGAGCCTCCATCTGGTACAGAATCAGAGTGCTACAATGGAGTCATCACACCGTGCCCAGGCCGTCAGACAGCAGTGGCATGGTGTTACTCTTCTGTGATGAGGCCCAGGGTATTGAGGGGAGCCAAATGCTGCTTGGGGGCAAACTACAGTCTCCTGACCAGGAGCCCAGACTGGCAAGGCATGTCTCACCCTTAGTCCCAGCCAGACAAGTCCCATCTGGACGAGTCATTATCAGTCAGTCAGCCTCTAAATTAAGGGGACAGAGCTCTTCCAGTTCCGCCAGCACAGACAGACCATCACCCACCGTGGTTATAAGTCTAGCTAAGCTAGTAATAGAGAAGCCAGCAAAACATATGAAAGAACAGAGTCTTTCCAGCAAGGTGCCCTTCTCGTCTCCCCACCACCCTTCACTGAGGGTGTGGGGGGAGCTCATGCCACTGAAACAAACCAGCTTTGAGATCTGCACAACAGATGTGCCCTACAGTCAGGACGTGCATGATACACAAAGCCCCCCTCTGCTTCACAGAGGGAAGCAAATTCTGGAGCAGCGAGGCCATAGACCTCTTCTGCAGGATATGGGTGGGGGTATCTCGCCTTGTTCTACCCTGCCTGGTGAATCCTGAATGTGCACCTGGCTGAGGACCAGGCTCAGTGCCATCAGCTCTTCAGCTCTGCAATCGGTAGGACTCCATTTCCAGATATTCTCAGCTCTCTTTCCCCAACAAAGTTAAAGGTACGTTGTGCTGCCTGCTTTCCACATAAATATTGTTTTTATTACAAGAAAGAAGAGACCACCTCTGAAGTAAGGCACAACACAATTGCCACTGTGGCAGAAGTCCCTGTTGCTCATCCCTTTGATCTCAGCCAACACTGTGGCCCACGGGCCTAAGGCACTTGAGCTTTTCCCTTGATTGAAGCGCAGGAGGTGCCTGAGAGCTGAGCCTCATGGGAGTGTCCATGGTCTCTGGACCTGTGTCCAAGTTCACGTGTTTCCACTGGTGGTGAAGATGGACATCAAGAATTATGAGAAATATAAAAATGTCTTTAAGTGTCTTTCCTCCTGAGTCCATCTTTGGCAATGGTCCCCAAAGCCTGGCCCCTTAGAGATGCAAATCCAGATCCTGGCCACCCTCAGGGTTCAAAGAGAGACTGGCCCAGGGGTACACAATTGCTGGAATGTTCTCTGCGAGTCATGCACACGTGCAGGGGTGAGGTACAGTTATATGGTGACACACATGGTGTTACTGTGAGCTCTCATGGTGCACAGAGAGGGCAGGTGATAAGGGCATCAGCTAATCTGTCCCACCTGGTCCAGCCCATCCAGTTCAGGGGAATCAAGGGGGCTGAGGCTCCGGTAGCCACTGTAGACCCTGTGACTGTCACTGACACCGTCATTAGGCTCCATTGGGCAAATGTAGTCTGTTGATTCATCGAACTTCTTTTTTCTTATGTTTCCAAAGTGTGAAAATCCTAGTTTCCTAGGCTAAAACACAGCAAATGCAAGATTATGCAATCAAGGCAGTATGCAGATATGACTGACAATATACTTAATAGCAGGCCCACAAGGAAAGCAATAATGTAAACTGCTCCTAGAAAGACTCTGAACAAAACAGAGCTCTTATAAGCAATTTCTATGCTGCGAAAAGGGCAACAGGTAAATAAACTTGAAAAAGAGCTGCTCCTCAAATACTATGCCTGAAACTCATGCCTGGCTACCCCACCAAAGTGACTTTCTTATTTCCACAGATGAACTGGGAGTTCCTTCAGAAAGTACTTGAGATCTGCACTTGAGGCCAAGCACAGAGAACTTGCCTCACTATAGCTGCTGGCACCCCAACCCCTTCCCATCTCAGCACCTGGCAACATCTAAAGGCACATAGGATAGCTCCAGGTTGCTCCTTGCCCTAGTGTCACCCAGCACTGTTTCTGTTTCTGCTGGACTCCTCCAGACACACTTCCTGTCCTGCTCCCTTGGGGAAGGAGGTCTGTGCATGAGTTGTAGCTGGGCACGAAGCATCAACACTACCAGGTATAGGACCAGCCTGGCCTCCACAGGGGTTGCCTGTGGGTCTACAGTCTGGGAAGAATGTGGTCTGAGAATGCTGTGGCTCAGGCAGGTCTAAAGGACTGTGTGGGATTTTGGGAGCCCCAGTGAGTAGTGTTGATGCTTGGAAGACCTTGGGACCTCTGGGCATCTGTGTGCTGGCCACTTCATAAAACAAGACAGATGAGACCAACTTCCAATGGGAGCACTTCCTATGCCAGCAGGACAGTTTTGGCCAAGATCCCATGGCATTGTGTCATGCAGATGGGTCTGACCAAAGAAAAGCTAGACTCAGAGCATGTCCACTCTGCAAGATGAGTCATGGGAGCAATGGGGTGGAGGATGAGCTCTAAGCCACCTGAGGATAGGTGCTTCCTGCACATACTTTCTATTTTCTAAAGAAACCTGCCCTCTCTTCCTTGGATTCAAAATTGGTGGAGAACTGGCTTAACAAAGAACTGGCCTAACAGCCCACAGGACCACAGCAGAAGCTGGAAGGGCCTCCTTGTCCAGGTTGCACATGCTGCTCTGGCAATAGGCGTTGAGCCAGGTGCTGTGCTGGAGGGCCAGGAGGCAGCCCAGGGCCCACCCAGAAAGGGTCTGCAACTCACCCGGACTTTGGCTGTGGTGGTCAGTGGTGTGTAAGCAGGTGAGGACATTTTCTCTCGCTTTTCCTGTTCAGCCTCTGGACCAATCAAGGCATTGAACTTGGTGGTCAGGTGGCGCCTGAGGAGCGTCTTTTGTGGGGGGATATTGAGAAGCATAGCCAGGGTGTCCCCCGTGAAGCGTGGCTCCAAGATCTAAGAAGGAACCACAGACAAATCTGGCCAGGGGCAAATACAAATGGCTCCAGGTGGGGGATGCCGAGAGATTGGCCTGTTAGGGCCGGAGGCACCTCCACAGCAGGGGCAGGAGCTCATTCACTTGTTCTGAGTCCCACTCCTCCCACTGGCTGGCACAGGGCCTGGCTCTAAGCAGACACTAGCACATTTGCTGACTGACTAACACCTTGTTTTCACAGCCCAGCAGAGAACTGGGACCTCTTGGTGAGGCTGTCTCCCACGGTCTCCCCTGGATGACATCCAAGCCACCACACTTCCTCATTTTCCCTCTGGCTTTGTGACTTGACAGATCTGAGTAGTAATAAGGATCATACTGCAGCAAGTGGGAAGCTGCATTTTTATGGCCTTCCTGTCTCTTCCCTAGCCCCCCGTTCCCTCAGGACAGGCAGACCTGCCTTGTAAGTGTTGGTCCTCATACAACTCATTGACCTAAAATCCTCGGGTCTGATGCCAAGGAGGTGCTTCCAGAAGGCATCTTGCTTCCATGAGGTATTAATTCTTAAGGACAAGTTATCAAAATACTTTCTTTGAGATGTCAAATTATGCAAGAGCTTCAGATGAAGTACCTATTTTTTAAACTAGATTTTATGTCTTGTCCTTAATAAGTTTCTGAATATCCCATTTGCACCAAGGCAGATGGGTTAGGCCAGAGATCCACTCACAATGAGGCCTCCATGGACTCCACTCCCTCGAAGATTGGGTGCATACTCTGCCAGGTCCACAGATCGCAACCATTCCATCACCCTGTGGTTGGACCACTGTACAACTTCTGAAGGAGAAAGGTTACTCTGTCAGAGGGAGAAGGAGAGTGAGGAAGTTAGTCTTAATAGGTCCCACCATGGTCCTCTGTGGAGTCAGCCCCTGTAAGTGACCCGGCCCCAGATGCACCCCAACAATGGAAGACCCTCAAGCTTGGTGACCCACACCACCTGCTACAGCACCAGCCTCCCCAGTTTCCAGGAAATAGAGCTCCCACTGAATCTTGCAAGATCTTCCACACTGAGATATCTGAATCCAGAATTCTGTTACTTCCTCATTTTCTGGCTTTGAGACAAATAAATGAGGACATTATAGTTATTCTTTCAGTGATTTAACAGAACTTTAAAGATGACCGTCAATTACAATTCAAGTGTTTTATAGAAGAAAGATCTCCCTGGTGTGGCCAACTGTTTTAGGGGAGCACACCTTAAGATACTTATTCCTAAGTGCTCTCATGTAGCATTGTGGTCTTAAAAATGCACAGTGCTGTGCCTGACATATACAAGGCATTCAAAACATGTTTGTTGAATCAGGAGAAAATAGGAGATAGATGTCAAAGGTAGCAGTTTTTAATCTCCCAGGAAGCTGAGTTAATTCTATAGCAGGGTTAGACCTAGTTCCCAGGAACAGAGGAGATAGGATGTTACTGACAATCTTCAGTTTTGGGATCCACCAAGAACTCCGAAGTTCATGGAACATAATCAGTTATTTCATCATGACTTGGGGTGCTGTTAGTTACCTATGCTATTTCTTCTCTAGCAAGACTGCTCATGGATCCCCTGTACCTGGGCCTGAAGATCAGTTACTTTTGGATCTATGAGTAGGGATACATATTCTGAAATGTCTAGCTTCTATGGGCTCCTCTTCCCTCTCCTGTCTCTTCTCCTCTCTTCCACTGTGGCACCTATCTTTCCATTTTGTCTTTCCCTTCCCCTCTTCTTTGCACCATCTTCTTATCTCCTTTTATCACTATGATGACTTTATAGCACATGTCTCCCCAGTGGACGGTGGGAGCTTAGAGGGCTATGGCTACTATGAGACATGAAGTATAGGTAACGGGTGTTTGGGGCACCATGAAGCACGAGAAAACAAAAGAAACCCAGGCACCATGATCCCTAAAACAGTGCTTTTATGCTGTCATTCTTGTTTTCTCTTGCTCGATGTTGCAGGGGTCCTGGCTCAGAGCTACCTGGAGAGATATTATCATGGTCTCACCTCATCAGCTGGCCGCCGGTGCAGGCAGTGGGGGTTGAACTTGTTGACATGCAGCACGTGAATGGCACATTTGATGCTGAGATGATGTAGTTGGCTGGTAACTTTTAAGAAGAGTAAATCATTCTGAAAGAGGAAAGTTTGGTTGATAAACTAGTTTCCAAAGTGACAAAAGACCCCTGATGTCCCTTCCCAGACCAAACATAGACAAGTCAACCACATTTCAGGAAGGCACATGTGGAGACACCCATAGCTTATTACAGTGGTTTGTACTCTGCTACTTGGGACCTTTTTTTTGTGACAAATGATATTACTTCAAGGCCATAAGAATATATGGAATCAAGTTTAAAATAACCACCATGGGTACACGTGAGCTGGGTGCTCACAGGCCCCACTGAAATATTTAAAGAAAAAGTCCTCACCACAGTCAGGTATTGCAGCATTCGCCCGTCAACTCGAGATTCATGAAACTGGTCTTTGTACTGGGGTAAGCCAATATCATCAAGCCACCCTACAAATACAAAAACCCCAGATGTGTCAGGATTCACAAGAATGAGAGAATGTAGATGCCAAGAAAGGGGAGCAAATTATATTTTGAGGTTCCAGTTTTATTCCCCAAAATGTTTGGTAATTCCTCTGCCTTTTACAAGGAGACAGCTGTCTTTGAGGTAACCATTTAACAGGGAAATTCCTTCTACCCTTAGTTGCTGCTGGAAACATACTTAATACATATATGCCTGTCCTTACGTGTCACCCAAATGTGGTCTAGCAGTGCAGACTTCTCCTCCTGCTTGGTGTTGATGGCTTTCACTGCTAAGACAAGTTTCTTCCTGTGGAGAGGGTGCTTAATTCCTAGCTCCTGAAATTAAAAGGTGAAGACCACATGTGAAATTTTGGCATGCAATTTGGCCCTCAAAGAAAGCAGCGTCTGGGTGGAAATGCTCTGAGAGTATGACAGTGGATCTCTGTACCATGCCCTAGGATGCCAACCTGCAGGTACAGAGGGACTCTCAGCCTCCTCCATCCATCCTCCTGTGTGTGTGGGAGGAGTGGCGGATCCTGGCCTCCCCAGGCGTTGGTTTGGGGAGAAATGGGAGTCTCCTCTCCCCAAGCTCAGCCCTTACCTTTTCCATGTCCTGAGGGGTGGCTGTCAGTAAAGTGTGGCCGGAAGACACCCACTGCCTGGCGAAGATCACATATTGAGCCAGGCCAAAGTCCTCCAGCCACGCACATACACGCTCTGTGCTCCACTGGGCAAAGGGGGCGTTGGTGTCACTGGGAAGCAGAAGAACAGCATATTCCTATTAGTGGGAGAGGCTGAGGTTCTGAATCTAATCATGTCTCACAAAAAATAACTGTTTTTTAACAAACAACCTCCATCATGGGATTTTGTTCAACAAAATTCCACTACAGCACACTCACATGAGGTAGGCCCTACAGTTTCCTTAATAACACAAGATCTGCATTTCAAATCTTAGGCTACTTAGAGGATGGGGCAGCCTATATGATCCTCCTGAGATCACGTTTATATGCCCTAGGTCCACATACACACATATACATGCCACAAGCCCAGAGCTGTGGCCTCATTAGGAGGAATCATCTTTTTAGGAAAATGCTTAGAAAACTAGTTTTCTTAGCATTTAAGTGGGTCAGTTCTCAACATTAAAAAAACAAAAACAAAAACAAAAAAACACCCAAAACTAAAAGCAAAAACTTTCCAGTCAACAGTTCACACCTTACATATTAACGAAAACATGGGAACATTCAAATTAAAGTCAACGAAAGGACAATATGTGTTTTATCAGTGCTAACAACATTGGTCTGAGAGTCGTAGCCAGTACTAGAGATAAATATGAATAAGAAGTATAGGTATTAGAAAGGCAGAAACAAAAAAAAAAAAGCCATTTGTTACAGATGATAGGACTGTCCATTTAGAAAACCCAAGAGAGCTCAGTAAGATGGCCAGTTATGAAATACACATATAAACGTATGTAAGATATATGTTACATACAAAGATCAACAATTTTCTAATACCATCAATGTACAGATACTAATGGTTCTGTTAAAATAATTTAAAAATTCCACTCATAGCAACCGACATTATAAAACGCCTACAAATTGTCTTAACGAGAAACATTTGGCCTTGTGTGATTATGTGTGGGGATTGTGGGGGTGGGGAGAGGTGCTGACTACAACAGTCAACTGAGCAACATAAAAAAGGACATGAAAATGAAAAGCTAGATTATGTTCCTAGACAGGATGACTGGGTTTTATAAAGCCATCAATTCTTAAGGACATCCATTCTTCATTTAAAGTGTGAATTTAACAGCACGCTAAAAATCCCAATGGAGTCATTTTTTTTTAGGAGGGGAGGATTTGACAGTGCAACTCTCTGTTCATAAATGGGGATTTATAGAATACTGAAGACTAGATATTCCTTCAAAGACTAGAAAGATTCCTTCAAAGCATCCCTAACATACTACATTAAAACGTATTTTTTTAATGTCTGGTCAAACTGTTCTTAAAGTTAGGGAATTCCTTAAAGGATAAACATGGTAAGAAAGCTTCATTTTAGAATAATTGCTAGAGATGATGTATATCCTGGGGCAGGGACTGATCAATTGCAACCTGGAGCCTGGGCTTTCATGGGTCCTGAAAATGTTTTTATGAGGCCTAGAACTTATAAAATTTCAAAAAAGTATAAAATCTAAATATTAAATTAGAAATAAAAGGAATATTTAGAATTAGAAAACAAGCCACAAAAACTGCAAGTTTTGCAAAACTGAAAAAAAATCACAAAATCTAGAAATATTAATATTTTATTACATAAAAGGTAGATATACCTCTATAGTTTGATTCTTTTTTGAGACAAGATATTTATTATTTTAGAGATGGGGTATTTATTTATTTTAGAGACAGGGTTTTAGTAATTAATTAGTTTTAGAGATGGGGTCTGGCTCTGCCGCCCAGGCTGGAGTGTAGTGATGTAATCATAGCTCACTGCAGCCTTGAATTCGTGGGCTCAAGCAATCCTCCTGCCTCAGCCTCCCAAGTAGCTGGGACTAAAGGTCTGAGCCACTGTATCCAGATATAGTACTTTTTTACTCTCATATTTTGGGTGCATACTATTTGACTGCTTCTTTATATGTCCACAATCTATAATACTTTCTATGAAAACTGATGGTTGATTTAGTCTTTCTTCCAGTATGACTGCTCTTTATCTTTTATGACAATAGTTAAAAAAAAGTCTCCACAATTTTTTTTATTTTTATCTTTTTTTTTTTTCAGACGGAGTTTCGCTCTTGTTACCCAGGCTGGAGTGCAATGGCACGATCTCGGCTCACCACAACCTCCGCCTCCTGGGTTCAAGCAATTCTCCTGCCTCAGCCTCCTGAGTAGCTGGGACTACAGGCGTGTGCCACCATGCCCAGCTAATTTTTTTTGCTATTTTTAGTAGAGACGGGGTTTCACCATCTTGACCAGGATGGTCTCGATCTCTTGACCTCATGATCCACCCGCCTCAGTCTCCCAAAGTGCTGGGATTATAGGCGTGAGCCATCGCGCCCGGCCTTTCTTCACAATTTATAACTGGTATTGTCATGGACATTTTTAAAATCATTTAAATTTAGAAAAGCCTCTGTCAAATGTCTTATATGTGAGTTGTAAAACTACACCTCATTCAAGTTTTCTAATGCTATGGCTAATCTTAAGCATTCTTTGAATTTGACAATATTCATTTAACTCATGTGTTGTCTATGTCCTTGTGGCAGTACATGAGTTTATATCATCTTTGTCACTGTCAGTATATCATGTAAACTCAGCAAGAAATTTCAACCTTTTTCCAATGAGTTCATATGATTCATCTTATATGAACAACAATCTAGGAGGCCATTCATTCCTTTTGTTTAAAACTTGCCTCTTTGTCTTAGCAAATTACTGCTTTTGGTATGATCTGGATTTTTTGTTTGTAATTTATTTTTTAAGGTAAGAAAGAATAATTTCTCTCAAATTTCAATGCTTATTTTATCACTTCTGTTTTATATTCTATTTGGTTTTTATTTCATTCATTTCCTTGTTTCTTGGAAGTGGGAAAAACAAAAATATCTGAGGGACATTTCAGTTCTTTTTAAAATTTTTTAACTTTCATATTTTGCGTAGTCTTTGTGAACCTAACATTTCAGTTCCAAAGGGAAAATAAGTGTTTCTGAGATCATAATTTGAAAACCTCTGTCCTATAGACCTTTTCAAAACCACCTAGAGCTCTGTTCCTCATCTCCATAGTCTTTCCGTTTTTTGTTTTGTGATCCTCTCCTCCCTCTTAAGCCTTGAGTTGCTCGCACAGTATCAGACCCAGCTTCTGCACCTCCTCCTCAGCTCCTCTCAGTGCCAGCATCTCCCACATCCTCAGCCAGGGCACCACTCAACATTCTAGGAAATAATCTGGAGATGACAGAGAAGATACCCTTCATCTATAGCCAAACCATTTATTTTGCTGACATAGTCCAAAACATCTTTTCAAATTGCAGTTCAAATGATATAGCTGAGATTTATCAAATATGCTCTTCTCATCGGAGGGAGAGAGGACATGGCACATTTACAATTACACAGTTCACCAGTGAGTACGGAGTGCTGAGCGAATCGGCACAACGGGAAGTGGAAGTAATTCTGGAAGCCATTTGTGCAGTGGGAAAGCTAGTGAATCAAACTTAACTAAACATGCAGTGTCTGTAAACCACATACACACATACCCCACCCTACCCTAAACCCAAACAACATGGATCCCCAGATCAACTTCCCCTTAACAAGTCCCCTGAAACCCTCACAGCTGCCCTAACACCACCTGTTATACGGAAAAGTGTAGACCAAGGGAAAGTTGGAGTAAAAAGAGTCAGGAGTCTTGAAACTGGCTGTGTTTAAAATTGCCAAATTTTCAAAACACCTGGCCCTATCGACACTATGATCAAACTCTCTCTGGACTCTGGAAGGGCTCCATACAAGTGAGGGTCCCCGAAGCTTAAGCGTCTTTATATTCATGATGAATCTGACTGACTGTGCATGTAGGAAAAGGAAACAAAATGGGGCCCAGGGCAGGGGAGCGGTAGGATTGGGGACACCTCTTAAAGCTGGAGTCCTAGGGCAATACACTCAGTAGATCAACTCAGAAAAAAAACACTCCGCAAAGATAGGATCCAGCCATGTGCCTCTAGAACCTGTTTGCCTTAAACATTATGCTTTACTGCCTTTTTCTAAAAAATAGTAACTCATAATAAACACACATACTAAAATAAATCCTAAATGGATTATTCAAAGTTTTAAAAAATCATAGAAAAAAATTTAAAAAATGAAAGAATTCACAAATTGGATGAACCTAATTCTATATAAACATAAAAATTCCATATATTAAAGTATCACAAACAAAAGTAAAATTCTACCACAAACCTATAAATACTGTCACAATTTTTAGACATGACTTAATATCTTAATAGAGAACAGTTAGAATCTATAAATACATTAATAATTAAATAATGAACAAGATGCAGATAATTCACAAAAGAATTAAAATGACAAAAACATAAAAACTAAATTACCAATGCAAATGTAATTTGGATGTTCATAAAAATAGAAAACTTTAAAAAAGAAACATTTAAATACTTCATGCTGATAAGGATGTGGGTGTAATAGGCACTCTCTGTCCAGCAGTGCTGACTGGAATGCAAATTGGTAAAACTTTACCTGGGAGGAGAAAGACAATAAAACGTGTTCTTCCATAATCTGAGACAGAGGGCCTACACAATATTATCAAAGATCATATAAAAAAATAAATTGTTTTATTGAACAAAGAAAGGTTGGGGCTGGAGACTTTCAGTAACAAAGCACCTTTCCTAAAGAATATGAGCAACAGTTTTAAAGCTATACCTAAATATTAATATCTATAAATTATAAGTATTACCAGAGGACATTAACATATACCAAATTTCTACTTAAGAGTCGTAAAGGCCTTTCTTGTCCACCAGCAAATTCATTTTGCACTGTTAGGATAAACATAACAATCTCATCAGGACCTCTTCACACTTCTTCCCTTTATCATCTACTGTTATGGTTAACGAAGCACAAAGACATTCAAACAAAGCAGCCCTGTGGCTAGAACTGCAATTTTTTTTCTTTGGCAAAGAAAGTTACTGACCCTGGTTACCCCATACCCTAAAGTGACTGGCAGAATACAGATGGCTCCCTAACCATGCACTTCTACTCCAGGGACAATGCTGAGGGGTCTTAGAAAAGTTCCTACACCCTGTCCCAATGATTCTCCTTCTAGAATCAATCCTTCAAGAACTAGCCAGAATTAAAACAAAAATGAATCACTAAAACTTGCTATGGCTTGATTTTTTTTTCAGCTCAGATAAATCAGAAACAACAGTAATGTCTACATTGAGAAGACTGCTAGGTAAATTGGAATATCTAATTATTGAATATACAGGTAAGCCTTCTCTGGCTCACTTTCTAAGGGCTCTGATTTAGTCTCTGACTTAGACTATGTTCTTAGGTTCTCTAGCCTCTAAAAGCTAATGGTCTACACATTCTATTGCTTCTTTTCAAGGCACCTGGAGCCTGGGGATACTTGTCAAAGAATAAATGGATCTGGAAAGGTCCCGTATCTCATGCACCAGGAGGACATGGCAGAGACAAGAAGCCCGTTTGGCAAGCTAGGGAAGTGAAGTATCATATCCGTGAGCAGCATAAGTGAAGGCTCCCTTCCACAGGGGATGCAGGTCTGCCAAAAATATGAAGCATTTAGCGAAATGCTTTTCTTCCTTAATCGGAATCTAGACTGTATTATTTCTGAGAACTGATATTTGAATTATATGAACCTTATCCAGTAAATGACCTGTACTTTGCATTGGTATATGGGAATCTTGAGGGGACTAAACTGAAGAGAGTTAAGCCTTACTTTTTTCCCTTTTGGTTAGATATAAAATGCCACATTCGAATCTTGTGGAAAGCCCCCAGGAGTACCGATCTTGGCTGAGTAACTCAGAACTTAGGAGATATTCTGGTGGAGGTGATGTATTGTAGGGACTGCTTGACTGGAGAGAGAATATGGAAAGGGTTTTCCCCAAAATACAGGAGTAAAGATTCACCTGTGCAGGTTCGAAGGGAGATACTGGTTTTCAGAGCAGGGATATCAAAAGAAAGTGGGTAAAACTAGTAACTGGAGGGTTTCTGCCAGGGACATGTCCAGAGAAGTTTAACGTTTTCTATGCTTTTGTATTAGGGCATGATGGGGAAAGTCACATGAAACTTCCCACTTTGATTCCAGTGCCATCCCTCTGCAACCCCTTTTAGTTAACATGCTACAGTAAAGTTTGGCACAGTAGGATTATGAAAAATAACGGCAGGTGTGGCCAGCTCCACTGACATCTTTCTGCAGAGTCTTTGTGGATGACTGACCCAGAGGTGGGTAAGAGACAAGGCTTACTTTCCCAATACTAGAGGCTGTTGACCCTTGAATGGCAGACAGCTGATGCAGAAGCTCATGTAATCCTCATGAGAACTTTAATAAAACACTTGTTTTTGACATCTACTTTACAAGTGAGGAAATGGAGGCATAGAGAGAGATACTGTATAACCTAGCTTAGGGCTCACAGCTAGGAAGTGACTGAGCAGAGATTCCTAGGGGTCCCAGAGTCTGTGCTCTTCCTGGCTACACCAAGGCTACTCAATTCAGTGTGTAAACCCACTGCCGAGAATGGATCATAGGCGTGTAGCACTGTTGAGGTGCTCAGGGAGGCCCAAGGGCCCACCTCCAACCCTAGCCAGCTCCAGCTGTAGGGAGCTTCTTGTCTTCACCTCAGCATACTTGTAAGCATAAGCAATGTGCATGCGTGTTGAATGGACAAGTTGAGAAGCTCTGCACTACGGGCTCCTGCCTTCCATTTCTGGAGGCTGTGGGACAACCGGAAACCCTCTCCCTGCTCCACCCTGGCCGGGATTTTCACACGACTTTTTGTAGATGGACTGGAGGGAGCCTTACCTTTTCTGTCCCTTGGAATCTCTGGTCCTAGAGAGTCTTGGCCCTGCGGTTGCCCGGAGCCCACCTCGTCGAAACTCTGCCATCCCCAGCGTGTCTGTGTTGAAATTTCCTGACTGAGTTCTTCGGATTCTGCATGGAGAAGAATCCATGGAGACTGTCACGGGAGAGTCTGAAAGCCTACAGTTGCTGCACTTCCTCTTTTGCAAGGCCATGCAGGCCAGAACGGTGACTCTGGGCAGCACTGCTTCTCAGTACCTTCCCAGAGATCAAGGATCACAACCTGTCACAGCTCCTCGGCCAGACTCAAGCCTCAATTCTAATCCTGCTTCTGGGATTTAGTCACTTGCCATAGAGGTCAGAGCAAAGTTTGATGCTTTGTAGGAGGCCCCAGTTTCTGCCTCATGTTGCAAAGTAGATCACTTGGGCCAGCAAGTACTCAGCTTTCAAAGATCTTTCAAAGATTTCTTAAGACAGACTGACTCCTAAGAAGGAAGAATACAGTCCCATCTGTGTCTGTCCCAAAGCCCATGTAGTATAAGCTGCAGAGATGATGTTCAGGGTGTGTGGAATGGGTGTGTGGCAAGGATGCATGACATGAAAGGCAACTGGATATATTTAATGGGTGCCTTTCATACTTCTCCTTCTCTTGGCGCTGAAAAATAACTCAGATTCTTCTCTTTAAACATGACCAATCTGATTTGACTGCTGTTTCAATGTCTGATGGACCAGGAGCTTACAGAGACTCTTTGCCCAATCAAAAAGAAAAATTCCAAGCAACATAATTATCATCAACAGCACCAACTTACTTTCCCCAGAACTTCTTAATGCCTTTGGGACTCCGTTTACCATCTGGTGTCAGAGGAGACTGGGGACCTGATTCAGTGCCCGATGATGTGGATGAGAGGTCATTGACCACAGCAGTGTCATCCCAGCCACTTTCTGTGTCTCCTGAGATTGGAAGAAGGCAATGAACATGAATGTAAGGACGTGACCTCCAGAAACCTTCTCTCCCAAGCCTGGGCCCTTCCCTTCAGTGGCAGTCCAGAGAATCTGGCCAGCTCTGCCTTCAGGGCAGAATTCCATACCAGATCCCAGAGACTAGTGGGGATTCCAGGCTTTCTTGCTGAGAAATTAATGAGCTCAATGTTTCCAATCTAGGTGAGCTAATGTCTTTAATTTTAAGGATTTGGGGTTCAAGTACTTGTGGATTATTCCAACAAGGAGCTTGCTCTCTTTTCTCAGAGGGAGATGCAGGCACGCAGGCAGTAGGGGGACCCTGGCTGAGTGTTGGTGAGGGGGAGGGTTAGGGTAGGGAAACAAAGGCATTCTCACTCTCCACCTCACCTGGAATGGGTACAGTACCTAATACGGGGGCACTGACACTCCGGCCACGGTCTCCAGTGAACCAAGAAGCAGAGAAGCCACATGAAGAAACAAGAGAGGCCAAAGTCCAGCCCAACAGAGTTACAGGGAAGCAAAGAAATAAACAAAAGAGTGTCATCGAGCAAGAGAGAAAAACTCAAACAGAAAGAAAAATAATCCCACGGAGAAGGATAGGGTGAGTGGTGACTGAGACTGACAGGAGGTTTCATGTGAGGGGACCACGTGCTCCTAGTGCCTCTCTGTGACAGGCTGAGGTGTTCACACTCGGGGACAGGGAGGGACAGCAGCAGGGGCTGAAAACTCCAGGCCACAGGCAACTCTTGTGCAGATGCCTGGGCTCACTCAGCTCAGACTAGAGCAATCTGAAGCTGTGGTGAGTCCAGTTTGAGTGTCACACTCAATGAGAACACACTCATTCCAGGGCTTATCTGGAGTTCCTGCAGCCAAGGGCAGAGCTGACCTTCACGAAGCCAACACATGGGCCAGCTCAGGCAATAGCTGAGGCTGAGGGGCCTCAGGAAGAACTGTGCCAGGACCAGAATGTTCCCTCCTGGGCCCATTGAATCTTCTGCTGCTGCTGGGGAAAGATGGCCTATTTTGAACGCAAAGCAGCAAAAACCTCTGCGGTTTCAGGTCTTACCCACCGAAAGGATAACTGTAGACCAACACACTTGCCCATTGGCCACTGACTCTATTTGCCTAAGGAAATGCTCCTACTTGGAGTGCATGATACCCTCCTACTAGGAATAGGGAAGCTGCAGAGAAGAAGGTGGAGACAGGAGAGAGAAGATCAGAGTGACAGAGGAAGGAAGCATGAGGGGCAGGAAGGGTAGAACAGGGTCTCTGAGAAGAGGGAAAACAATGCTAGGAAGGAAAGGAAGGGGTTCGAGAGGAGGAAGAGAAGAAGAGAGGAAATGAGGGTGAAAACTGCAGCTGGAAAGAAGTAGGGGATACACACACCCTGCTTTGCTGAGACTGTGGATTGCTGACCATAGAAAACAGCTCAACCAGAGGGAGCCTCTAGAGGTGGGACCACCCCAAGGTACAGCTTGTTCCAGCCACCCACCCCACCATTCTCCAATTGCGGATTGTGGTGGTAGGTGCAAGGTTCTTGTATAATCACTCAAAGTGCCAAGGACACTGCTTAGAGGTCACCAGCACCAGGGTTGGACACTTACTCAGTCTCAGCAGGCTGCTCCCCGTGGCGTCAGGCTGGCAGGCAGTGGTGGCAGGAGATTTGGCAGCTTCTCCATTGGGCGTAGCTCCTGAAAGCTTCCCAGGTAAAGTGGGGTATTTGTGCTCCGCCAAGAAAGGGCTGTCCTATTCGAAAGTGGAAGAAAGAGAAAGATACGTATTTAGCTGTCAGCCTCAGTTGGGAAATCCTTGGATATAGAATAATTCCCTGTTTTTCAAGAGCCATTTTTCATATATGGTGACTCAAAGACCCCTCAAAGATTATTTAGCTAGTCTGACAAAGGGGAATAGAGTTCCAAGGAAGGAAGAAACTTTTCCAAGGCCACACAGTAAGACAGGGACAGAGTCAAGTGCAAATCCAGAGCTGACTGCAACTGCCTCTAACAGGAAGTGAAGTTGTCTTACAAAGTGGCCTTTGCTGTCTGGCCTAGTGCTCAGAGACTCGATGAATTAACAGCTGTGAATTACTCTGTAAGCTCTTTGGATATGAAAACTGGCATTCTCGTAAAAGCTGCCTCATGCTTTATCATACATACATACATACATATATACGTAAAATAACAATTCTGCAAGAGAGGAAGCTGAGCTCAGTCTGCTCTGGGCTTCTCTGTTTCTCCCAGATTTGCTTTCCTGTGGTGAGGAGAGAGGTGCTTCTGCTAATTGGGATCCTTCCTCAGGCCAGGCAAGGGCAGACCTCTGTGAGGGCTTGACCAACTGCACAAATGATACGGATCTTGCCGGAGAACAGGTATGCTACAGAAGGGAAATTAAAGTTTAAATCTATAGCAAAAGAAAAAAATCTATATTATGATAATGGTTTCTTGAAAAACATCATGTTAAGGCAAGCAAGAAGATATGCACACCTTTGGGGGAGATGATGACAAGAAATGGGCCAGAGGACTACATGGCAACGAGCTCCTTTAGGAACTTAGGGTTAGAGTTTACACAAGGTAGAGCCTCAGTGTACCCAGCTCCATGCTTGGACCCTGGCCATGGAGAGGTCCCAAAAAACAAGCTGATTAAATGAGGAAGAAGATAGCATTTATTCGGCAAAGAGGCATATAATGGCCTCTAAATCTGCAAACCTGAGAGAAACACAGTGGAATGCACTGTGAAAGTGAGAAAAAAAGAAGAGAGAAATTGAAGCGATGTCACCAGAAGGAATTGACTGTGGATCACCTGATTAGATTCAGAAGAAAATATGAAAGACAAAACATTTCAAACTGGCAAGTCAGAACAGTAATGGGCAGCTGCTGTGACTGAAACATCCTTTGAAGTTCCATTTAGCTAAAAGCCAAGTATCCAATATATTTCTGAATTCAATTTCCTTATAAACGCATGTCCTAGAAATTGAGATTCAGTTCATTCATTGAACATTCACTGTAACTCCCTATAAATAGCTCAGAAAGGAGAGATACAGGAACAGTAAACTGAATTCTGAAAGAACTGGCTGGTACAGTAGAAGTAACTAGAACCTTGAGAGTGAAGGCCATGAGATTTTCAAGTCTGTGATGACCCATGAGCTAAAGATTAGACATGATCAGACATGTATGTGGTCAAGACCCCAGAGTTTCCAAATGGTAGTTCACGTGCCGGCTGCTCTTCCTAATTACCTAGGGCACTTGTAAAACAATATGAGTTTCCAGATCCCTCCTGTGCCCAGTCCCTGATTCAGTCTTCCTGGAAGCACACCCCATGGGTCTGTATTTTTGACAAGCATCTCAGATTATATGAATGCAGTCAGACCCAGGAACCACTGACAATGAGAAGATAGTGTTCAAAAAGTTTAGAGACCTGAAGGGCATGACTCTAAGCTCCACCTTACATAGGACATATGGGAAGAGGGCAGGGCTCTCAAAAACAGGTTTCTGACTGTATCATCATGCATGATCCCTCAAGGCAGGGCTGAGACAGCCAAGGAGCCAAGTGGGCCAGCAGGGAACTCCCTGAGGAGCTGAGATGCAAAGAGAACAGATACCTAATCCAAGCATGGGGTTTAAAAGGCAGCCCAGATCTGTAAGAAAGAAAGCAAAAAGGAATCAAGGACAATGGAAAGGGCTCTCTGGGTTCTACTCAGGCCAAGAATAAGTGCTGGGAAGAAATGACTCACTGATGGAGAAGGTGGTGCAATGTCGAGACATGATGCAGAGGAAACAGAGATGCTCAACTCCTGTCTCCAAAAAGAATACTCCTCCTGGCTGTGGGGGAACAGAAGCCCCAGCCAAGAGAGTAGTGTAGAACTGATTATCCGCTGCTTTAAATCAGAACAGAGAAGCAGCATGCCAGAGTGGAGAGGGCCTAGGCTTTGAGTCAGACCATATCAGGCAAAGCTCTTTCTCTTCCACCTCTCAGGACCTCTGCTTGGTCATTTCTAAAAGGAGAATAACAATTCCTGCTTCAGGTTTGCCAGGAAATAACATATCCACAGGGCCTAGCACACAGTGGACACTGGATAAACAGAAGCACAGGAAATATCACATACCCAGGACCTAAAGAAACAGCAATCTAGAAGAGCAGTTCTTACCAAAGCAGGCACTGGTCAGACTACATCTAGAATATCACAGTCTGGTCCAGAGCACAACTTAAAGAATACACTGAGAAACTAGTGCTGATCCCAAGTAGACTAAGCAGCAGCCTGAAAGGCTTGTGATCCATGCACATAAGAAGGTAATATTCAGTCTGGAGAACAGAGCAGTCAGAGAGGGCAGGAGGGACTTAAATTCCAGAGCTATCAGAAGTAGGGGAGATTGACTTTATCCACGGGCTAGACACGAAGAGAGAGGATCAGCAGATGCACATTTTAGGGAAGCTCACAGAGCTGGAAAAGAATACAAAGGATGTCTTACAATGAAGTCACAGAAAGCAAGAGCCAGTTTAAGCAAGTGCCAGACACAAAAGTTAGGGCTGCTGCAGAAAGATGGCTCTGGAACAGTTCTGGCCCTATGGGACAGTTCTGGGAGGGCAGTGGTGTATGTGGGTGAGCAGCGAGCAGTGGCCATATTGAACAAGATTGTATAAGATTGTGATTATGGGCAAAACCATACAAAATTAATCTTTTAATCTGGAGCATTTTTTTCTTTATAAATAGTCCCATACCACTCATATTTCTTGGTAATCAAATTGGGATCTTGAACCTTGAGCCTGTGAACTGGGCGTTCTTCCAAAGGAGCAGGCGGTCACTTACAGATGTGCTTTAGAAACACCTGTGAATGACCTCTGTGAAGCTGTGGTGGGAGGGGGGACTGCTGAGCGATTTAACAGCTGTCCTCACAAGTAGCCTTTCGGTTCACAAAGGGACCACACAAACCCCAGACTCAAGGGTCTGTGTTCTGGAGCACCTGGGCAGGAGAGCAGGCAGAAGACTTTTGCTGTACAGCTCAGATGGCCCAAGGAATGGCTGCCTACTTGAAGCACCAACCGCTACAAATATGGAAGTGTAGAGAAACCCCTTATATAGATGCAGAGGTGCAGAAAAGATCTTTCTCTTAAGCAAATGTGGAGGAGCAGAGATGCCTCATTTTACCAGATGGATGTGAAAATATAAAATGACCCCCTCAGGCAGAAGTCAGCAAGGAATAAGAAGCTCCATGTTTCATGTGGACATGGAGGCAGGGGACAGAGAAGGGAAATGCCATCAGCCTCACAATACAATACATTTTCTATATACTGTTATAAATCGTGGTTGGATGTGGCTGAAATTATGCTAATTATATGAATCTTCATTTCTTTATGGGTTCAACATTTGTGCACTGGCCTAAAAACTTAATCCTCTTCCACGACAGAAGAAGAAAATTAGTCCTAATCGAATTTTTATAACATAACTTGTTCACCAAAGCGGGACTGAGTGTGCACTTGTGGTTTATTTTTTAACCATGACATATCAGCACAGAAAGGATGACAGTGTGCTGAGATCGTAGCAATCCCCTTCCCAGGGATTAAGTCAACTTTCTTAATTTCTCTGAGCCTGTAAAATGGAGGTGGTAATAATAAATTCTGTCCCACAGATAATGGCAGTGAAAGCATGTTAAATAGTTGGGTGCACATAAAGATAAAATGGGAAAGAAAAGTTGATCTTTCCCCTCTTACCCCCTTACAGTTAGTACATTTTAAAGCTACAAAGCTATGACTTGCCAAATTAAAATACTTGCAAACAGTGTAACCACAAATAGGCAACAGGGCATGAGGTCAACGCACCTTGGGCTCTACCACCGGGAAGAGCTGGTTCCCGTCCATACACTATGGAGTAACAAGAGGATTTCGTTTATGTGGAGAAAAGAGATTTGTATTATTCACAAACAGCAACAACTCAGAACTACCCGTCTGCTTAAATCTGAAGGGCTCATCCCCTCCCTCCACATCTTCATGCCAGGTAATCACCATCCATGGCAGAAAACAGTTCCCTGTCCAACTCCTTGGACAGATGTCCTGGGCAGCTGCCAGCAACATGGTCGTGGCAACCAAGGGACACATGACCATGAAAGCAGAGCCACTGAATGAGCCCAGGGCTCCTGGCGACTTCAGCTTTTATGGTTCTCCATTGTATCAACAGGGAGGCTGACCAACGTTATTGGAAACCAAGGGATGCCATGTAGCACGGGCTCACTGAAGGGTCTCTATCAGGACAGGCTCCCTCGGTCTCTAATGACCAAGCTCAAGAGCCTGCTACTGTCCCCTGCAGCGTGAGGTCCACCCACATGATCAAGGGCTACTCCCATCTAAGGAGCCACAAAACCCTCCTCATCTTCCCAGACTCTTAGAACAGCTCACTCTCCAACATCTTAAAGATCCCCCATCTTCTCCCTGGGATCATCTACTTTACTCACATTAATTCACCAATAAAAAGTCTGTATGATGCCCCCAAGTTCCGCAGGGATATAGGACTAGTAGTCACGATCTTCCCTGGCTCGATCTGTCTCATGGCTCTGACCTTACCTCCTCCTACTCCCCACCATTTCCCAAAACCCACCAGTGCCCAGCAGACTTTAACCAAGCTTTGCCTACCTCAACATCTCTCATCAACTCCGGGCAGCATTTCCTGAATTATTCTTCCTCTAAGATGCTTTGGACTACACCTGATTAATTTTCTCAAAATGTTCATGTAATTCCTGTTTTCCCCACAACTTTATAAAATCTTCTACAACGTAGGGACCAGGACCTACCCATATCCCAGTACTAGGCTAGGCCCAAAAAAGTAACTCAGTCATCCTTAAGGGTAGGTTGATGAGCTGACCTTATTCACAGATCCACTTCTCAAGTCTTCTAGACTACAAGAGAGCTTTTTCTGAGCCCTGAAAAAAACACAAAAGAAAGAAAGAATTACTGGAGAAGGAGGTAAATGTTATCACTCATGCAGAGGACATTTCAAATACTTAACCAGTGGTCTTCGGCTTAGGTTCAAGGTCATGAAAAAAAAATACCCTCTCATAACAGCCTTTACATATAAAATTAGACTGGCCCACCCTGGGGGATAGATTGGTCCAACAATGTGTTAGTAAGGGCATGAGGGCATCACTTAAATCCAAATGAAATGTTCTTGCACAAAAAGCCAGAATACACTCAAATTCTGCTGCAACAAGGTGACAATTGTGCAGTCATCAAAGACCAATGTCTACAGAGTCAGAAGAGGGGAAAGGCATGAATGCTGGGCTTGTCTGAGTCTAAGAGTAATCCAGGGAGGAGGGACCTGAGCCTCCTTAGAGTGGAGGTGAACACACCAGCCAGCCGTGGCTCCAGATCACCTGCTAGGAACCTTCCACACTCTGCTCTGGATCTGCATGCCCTATCTAGTCTGCTTAGAATAATTTGGCTCTCTCAGGGGCTATTTTGCAGAGAGGGGCACCAAATGCATCAAGAGGCCATGCCACAGTGGTCCCAAGGGTAACCTTTTGCCAAATCTCCTTGGCAGCCATACTTCTCAGTTTCTATGAATAAATCAGCATTTAAAAAAATCTTAGTCTCTTTTGAATCTGGCCAGTGTGAGTTCCTTGGTAGTGACCTTCCCTCAGCGAACTCACAAACCACAATTCTTACTCTCCAAAACTAAGGATTGGCTGATCAACTTCTCTAACATTACCATTTTCCTCTGGGGCTACAGGCTCAAAGGAACAAGTGCTTTCTGGAAAGTGGACTCAGAGTGCAGGCTCCGGAGACTCAGCACCATTCTGGGGAGCTTCTGTGATGCTTATGGTCATCTGCCCCAACACCTTACCTGAAAGGCAGCCTGCTCTTGGCAGTGAAGCCTCCATATCTCCTTTGCAAGGAGCTCAATTTGGAAATGTGTGCGAAAGTGCAGACATAGGGAACTAGACTTAGGTTTGTTTTAGAGGGAACAAGACAGCTGGCAGTCAAATGACCTCAGAGGCGAACCCATTTTTAGTCCATTGTTGTGAAGCATCCCCAAAGCAATTAGACCAATTGCTATGAGGAGGCATGTCCATCCTCAGAGAACTTGGATTTACAAAGGGCTAAATTCACTCCAAGAGCAGAAAGCAGAGGCTGACAAAAACAACACATATCATGGCATGCTCTCAGCTCTGAGTAGCCACTGTAAGACACAGATGAGTTGCAGCCACGTCTCCTCTGAGGCTCTAATCCCTGGCCAAGTCCTTTCTCAGTGACAATGATCCACACCTCAAGCTGAAGGATGAGAAGCCCTTTTGTAGCCCAAAGAGGTAGGCCTGGTTTGTAAGTGCCCTGACTAGAGAGGGGCAGGTGCACCTAGGATGCAGTGGCCATGCTCAACACACAGGACCAGTCACCATCCACTTCGGCAGCCCCAAGGCACGCCTGAGAGCACAGTGGCTATGGGGAAACGCTCAGGCCTCTTACCTGGTTTCCAGTGATTTCTGTGGCAATGGAGGTGGCCCCACTGTAGGAGAGCTACATCCCAGAGGCATCTGCACCAGAGATAGAAGAGTCATGGTAGAGGACAGTCTGTCTGGTGACCACCCACCATCTTTCCCCCTTCTTTGAATGATTCCTTTTAGGGAGACATTTTCTCCCTGGGTACAGCCATGGTGGACACATCACTATAGATGCCCAGCTCTTTCAAGATGCCAAGGGGGTGTGGTAGGCCTATCGGTCCATCTGGGCCAGCTTGCCTCTCCTTCCTGGGCCCTAGAGCTTAGATCATGTTCATATCCCAGCAGTAGATTCCTGAGACCTGGGTTCCTGGGTTTTTTCTGCTCCTGCCCTTTCTGAGCTTGGTTCTTCAGCTTTTCCTTTAACTCATGAGCCACTGCATCCTCTTTCGAAAACATTCCTTTTGGCTTAGGTTAGCCAGAGTCAAATTTTGTTGCTTTCAATGAGAGAATCCCATTTGATACGGTTACCCAACAAACATCAGCAGCATCTACTCCCTGCCAGGCCCTGTGTCAGGTCTGCAGCAAGTACTCCTCACATCTGGGAGACAGACAAGTAAACTAGGGTAACAGAACAATGCAACATGTTCTTATGGTACCAACACCTGTAACACAATATGGGAACAGTGGGAGAGAGGGGCTTCCTCTCACTGGTGGGAAAGTTGGGAAAGCTTTAGAGAGGAGAATAGCTGAGCTGAATTTTGAGAAATGAGAACTGGCTAAGGCAAGAAAGGAAAGAATATCACAGGTGGAGTGACCATGAGCTAATGATGGTATGAAAGAATACAGCCCTGTCTGTCTTCAGTATTGTACCTTCTGCAACACTGTGCCTTTAGTAGTGCACCTGGCATCACAGGTGGAGCCACCTTGAGCTAACGGTGGTTATGAAGGAACACAGTCCTGTGTCTCCAGTATTGCCTCTTTTCTCTAGACCCCAGCATCATCTTGGTCTACTACAAGAACAGCCCTGGCATTACAGTATAGTTTTAAAAGCCTGGGCTTTGTGGTTAGACCTGGGTTCAAGTCCAGATTCTGCCAGGTACAGTGTTCATCACAGTGACCACATGGAGGTATCCAGTAAGTCTTGGACAGCACTATTCTGTAACTGCCAGCAATCTGGGGTGCTTGTTCTGAGTCATTAACTAGATCACTGGATGAATGTTTTGTCCCTCTGTTAATTAAAAAGGTTGAAGCGGGCCACTAAGATCCTTTAGAGTTGACTGTCTGGAGTTTCAGGAATCTTTTGAACCATAGGCTGAAGCCCCTCCTTCACTTGAGGTCTTGTTTATTTGTATCTAGCCTAAGTCCAGAGAGATTCAAACAATAGGGACCAGATTTTACACAAATGAAATAGATGAGAAGGAAAATCTGTGTCCTGGCTATAGGGGGTATCTGTCAAGTCAGAATGCAGCATTTCAGAGGTTGCAGTTATTCCTCTCAATGAGCAAGACATGTTCGTTCATTTGTTCATTCAACAAACATTTTTTTGAATTCTACTGGGTATCAGGCATGACTGCAGACCTTGGAGAAAGAGTGGAAGATAAATCAAACACCACCTTTGGCCTATGCTTATATTCCAGAGAAGAAAAGAAAAAAAGAAACTAAGAGCCTGATTAAAAAGGAGAATTCTTATCCTTGAAAGTTCCAGTATCTACCATGCTGCCCTCCAACCAGAGCACAGGCCAGAGCCTCAGCCTCTTGCTCCACTATCCCCATCACAGCCTGAGGAGCACTTCGTTAAGTATTCACCTGTGAAGATATGTACCTGATATGTGTCTGACTAGATCCTCCCACAAGCTCAGGACAAGCTCAGAGGACCTGCTGAAACCCTACATCATGGATGGAAACACTGTACCTCTTGTTTAAATAATTCTTCAGGGCCCTTATTTGTAGTGTTCCACTTTCTGAAACCTCCCTCTGGTTCTTCTTCATTGATTGAGGGAGTTCTCTCTGAAGGCCCTGCAAGCATTAATGCAGAAAAGAGTGAACTGTTGAATTCATACTGTGGGAATTGTTCAGAAACCTGTAATTGTACCATGAAATTCTAACATTGTTTCTCCTTCATTATGAAGGACTAAGAAATATATAAAGGACCATTAAGAGTGTGATTCTGAAGATTCTTCAGGGCATCTGAGCATGGGCTGGCATCAGGATCATTTCAAGGTCAAAGCTTATCTGCAGAACAGAGGTAATGTACCCCCTGCCTCCAAACGTCTCACTCCTTAGCCATAGGCAATTAAAGCCCTGAGAGTGACTTGACCCATGATCTTAAAGGATTAAAGAGGGCTGTGAGGCCAGGTGCATTGGCTCATGCCTGTAATCCCAGCACTTTGGAAGGTTGAAGTGGGTGGATCACTTGAAGTCGGGGGCTCACGACCAGCCTGGCCAACATGTTGAAACCCCATCTCCACTAAAAGTACAAGAATCAGTGGGGTGTGGTGGCGGGTGCCTGTAATCCTAGCTACTCAGGAGGCTGAGGCATGAGAATTGCTTGAACTTGGGGGGCTGGATGTTATAGTGAGCTGAGATTGCGCCATTGTACTCCAACCTGGGCAACAGAGTGACACTCCGTCTCAAAAAAAAAAAAAAAAAAAAAAAAACAAAAGAGGACTGTGTGTGAGGGCTGGCAGAGGTCCTGGTCAGTGACCAGTCAGCTGCATCCTGGCAGAGGCTTGGCTTCTTCCCAAGAAGCAGCAGAAGCTCAGCCAGAATCAGAGGTTCCTAAATATCCTTCAGAGCAGCCCTGTGCTGTGAAACAACAGCCACTTCCTCAGGATCTGTGATGGGAACCCAGGCCAATGGCATGAACAGTGAAGGCAGCCTGGCACATGCACCACTATGCCCATAAGAACACTGAGGCTGCTTGCATGTTGCATTCAGTCAGGGCAGCAAATATTAAACACAGCAGCTCTCTCTGTCCTGTGACTTCCTACAGCAACTCAGGCCCAACAACTCAAGGAAGGCAACCAGACGGCCCTCTGAGTCAGCTGCGGAGCTCTAGATTTTCTAGGAGGTGGAAAAGCTCTAATCCCCAGTGACGGCACTGAGTTGATTTTTGACCCAAGTTTAACTGTACTTGCTGCCTCTAAGGTTTCGTCCTGGGAAGATGCATAAGAGACCCTCCAATGGTGGAGAATCCACAGGCTTTATATTCTTGGTGATCTGGATAGTCCCTGAAGGTCCTGAGCTGACTTCCATTTGCTAACATTTCTGGAAATCAACAACTGCTAATTTCTTACCATGCAGGAAAGTCTAAACAGCTCTATTCTCCAGTAGGGAGTCTTCTCTGAAATACAGGTGAAACCGCTGCTAGCAGGACTGCCCCTGGATTTAACGTAGCTGGTGGAGTATCTTTCAGCGACCACAGTAGGATGGTCTTTGCTCTTACCTTGAGTGACCATCACAATCTCCTTTACTTTCCGATACTGGTTTAACAGCCCCGTAAGCTCCTCTATCCGACGGTCCTGCCACAATGCAAACAGAGATTTAGATTAATTCTATGCCGGCATCTCACATGATTTCATTTTGGGACCCAGGCTATGTTCTGGGCACAAGGAGAAGAAACACCCCTGTGGAATCAAAGGAAAAGTGTGTCCAGGCCCCATTCCACAGAGCTGGGATTTCAGTGGTTAGCTTCATAGGCATCTGCAGGCATTCACAGCTTTACCTGAAGGCTGTGAGTCAACAATAACTACCTGTGACACCCTTCACAGGGCTTAAACATTTTCAGAAGCATGATGCTCACTGTCTCCCTACCTTCCTAAAGTGGCCCTTGAAATCTGCCTTCTGGTCCTAGTGTTGCCCTCTGGAGCTACACAAAAAATGACTAAAATAAAGCAGTCATATTTATCCCAATATACTCATTTGTTCCGTAGGAGTCTGAGATACCTCATACTACAGAGGAAATTCCCAGAGAAGATCATTTCTTTCAAGGCAAAGGCCGTGAAAAGGGCTTGGGAGACCACACAGGTCCTAGACAAACGTGGATGTGAAAGCTGGCTGTGCTATTTACTGGTTACCTGACCTTGGGCCACATTACTTAAGCACTTTGAGTCTGTTTTCTCATCTGTAAAATGCAGGGTTGTGCTCCTCAGAGATGATGTTTATACCAGCCAGGTACTCTTTATTTATAGAGGTGGCTATTTTATGACTGTGCTGAAATTAGTTGTGAAGGATATAAGATGGCAGGGTAAACTGAGGCACTGCATGCTGCCAAGCATCTCTATGATGGTTCTATTGTCAGATCATGCACATGGGAGACTGGTGGACTGTTTCACTAGGGGTTTCAGCAGGAGCTAGGATATTGGCAGTGATCACAGCAGTATTTTTTCCCCCAAAACAGCACGAACAGGGAGGGCTCTAATCTGCCTTTAGGAGATTCAATTTAGATAAACTTTCCAGTTACCAAGGCCAAAAACAGGTGGCTGAGGCCAAGTCTTTAGGGGGCATAAGTCATTCTCCTGACATATCCATATGTCAGTGGCATAATGAGCATGGCCCTGTACAGAATATCAGAGACCAGCAGGGACCAAACAGAGCCAGGGATGTAACCAGGGAAAAGACAGGGCTACCCAATGAGCATTTTACCTTATCTTCATTGGCAAGCAGCAAAGTTTCCATCCCCATTTTCAGACGTTGAATTTCTTGGTCTAAAATAATTTAGGTATAGAAATAATTAGTTATATAAATGTAAACAGCTATCCACATTTGCTACAATGCGCCCCAAGTTCACACAAAGACTTTCCATGTGAACGTGGCTCCTTCAGTTCTTTAGAAAGACCAGGATGGTGTCTGCCACAGACTCGGTCTCCTTAAATATTTGTTAGACTACTAAATGAAGGAACCTCGTATTCTGTCTTCTCTTTATAGACATTTATGGGCAAAATCAAAATGCCCATGTACTCAAGGTGACACAGAGGAACCCAAAAATCTTTTAAAACCAACATCTTCTAAGAATATAGGTATTCTTATCCTTTACAACTTGAGTAGGCTGCTGACTGGCTCTGAAGAAAATCATACAGTCTGACAAATTGTAGGCAGAGGAGAATTTAACATTAAATAAAATCCACAGTTGAATGAAGACTGGGAAATAATAATTATGTAAAAGAGTTGGTACTTGGCTTAACTTTAAATGGATATAGTCAAAATTGACTAACAAATGTTTAGATGTATTGATATATGTATATATATGTGTACACACATATCTATATGTGTGTGTGTATATATATATAAAATATATACATATGTTTGTGTGTGTGTGTGTGTGTGTATACACATACATATGTAAACAAATGCTGGGTTAAGGATAAACAATCTTATTTCATCGTAAACCAGACTTTCCCTATGAGCTGAGAAATCTCTGTTGTTCTGTCACGGAAAACCCGTGGCCTTCTCTCAGTTTGGGCCCAAGAGGGACTCTGTTGATTTCTTCCTTAACTGTTCTAGAGAGCCTAAGGAAGCTGGAGGTCATTTGCCAGATACTCTAGAAACTGGCACATAGCTAGAATGATGTTCAAAGGAGAATCTATACATTTTCCAAAACGGGAATAGGGATGTCCATTAAAAAAAAAAGTGCAGATGTCAAGGGAACAAATATACAGGACTCCCATTTTCTTTTGGGATGCTTGTTACATCTAACAAGATTAGCATCAGTAGATCTACAGACTTTGTGTAAACAGTTGTGGAGATTCATTTTCAGAATAAAGTGGAGAATGCTTGCTCATTATTTAGGGTCCTGGTAGCTAACATCAGCTCTGCAGCTCACTTTGCTGGGGAGAGCAGTAAGTTCCAGAAAAAGACTGGCAAACCTTGGTCCACTGGTCAGAACTTAACTTCAGCAGCAAATGACCAGAGGACCAGCTTTAGAAAGTCCTCTTTCTAAAGGTCCTCTAAAAGTCCTCTTTCCCAGGGGTAGGGCCTGGGAGGCTTAGACTGTGGGGAGGTAAGGGGTAGACAGTAAGAGGTACGGCTGTCTGGCCTAGAAGTCATGGCATGGGACACTCTCTGTCCAGGCTTATCATCAGAGATAGTCTGGGGTGTCTTAGTAGAACTCAGCCTCTACAAGGAGGCCTTGGGAGGAAGGCAACACACCCAATGGCTTGGGTGGACACTGACAAAAGCCAGGCGAGGGGTGAGCATGTTGATCACTAATTTCCTTCTCCAGCCTAAGCCACTGTTGCATGGCTTCCACGCCCCAGCTGGGGATCCAAGCTAAGCAGTGCTGAGGCCAGGATGTGACTAGGTAGTGGCACCAATCCATAGGAGTATTTGATCTTCAGCATTGCTCTGCAGCCTGTCTGTGAGTGGAGAAGTTGAAAGGTGTGTGATCATTTTGTATGCATGGCAGACAGCTATAAAGGTTTATGTGTTCGTAAGAGTAGTTGAGGATTTATCTTCCATTTTTGATCGCCAAGACTTGAACTCCTCAGAGGCCATTCACCATCCTTTCACTTATTTGAGAAGTATTTCTTTGGATCCTACAATGGGCCAAACATTGTGATGGGCTTTTTGGATATGCTGTTAAGAAAAATACAGTCCCTGCCCAAGTGGGGATGACATGTAACACTGTTGAGTTATAATAAGTGCTGTGCGGGAAAAAGGAAGGATGCTGAGTTAGAGAATAATAGGACTGAGGGCACCTATTTGAGTTAGGGTGGCCAGGAAAGGCCTTTCTGAGAGGTACCATTTGAAATCTCAAGAATGAACAGACTTGTTTCTATAACCTCAGGGCCTTATACAAGCATCAGGCAGGTATCCATGAAAATGACAGTAAATTGCTAAAGCCTCCCCTTTGGTGACAAGACAAAAACAAGGCCTTTCAATCAAACGAAAGAGTTAGGTATTTCCTACATTTTCAGCAAAAGCTCCAGAGGTGGCTGCACAAACCTTCTCTGCATCTGAGAAAAGCCTTCCAGTTAGGGCAGAGTTCCATGGAAATGACTCCACAATAGCACTGCATTATAGGCACATATACACAAACACACAGACAGGTGCATCCATTCACTTAGACAACCTTGCACACACACATGCATGCACATTAGCATGGCTACACACACATGCATATGCACACTCATTTATAGAAACACATGCTCACTTATAAGAGTAGGCCTAGAGACCCAGAAAACTGCATTTTGTCACGGTCAGGCTAGTCACCTCTATCTGTGTGGTCACCATGGAGAGCTGCTGTCCGGGAGAGCTGGCTGTGCAGACGCTCAATTTCTGCATCTTTCAGGGCCACCTGTTCTTGCAGCTGGGCTACCTCAGCCTGGAAGAGCAACAGAGGATCCCTACTAGGTCAGAAGGACTGCCAAAATCATGACAAAGTGCCTCCCATCAGAGTCCAGAGCCTATCAGGCCCCAGGGCATGTCAGGAGTTGGGAGAAGTGGTGAACAGTAGCAGGGGCTCATTGCCCTCCCCACAGGTGGAACTCTGCTGACTGAATTCCCTCTTCTAGGCCAGCCTGGCTCCCCCAACAGCTCTGGCCATCCATGTGCTTCTTCTCCTGCATCTTCCTATCTGACCAGGCTCTCTCTCTCCTGTCCTGTGAGAACTGGGATTGTGATGAGGAGTTGGGACTGTGTGCAACAGGAGGGCTGTTCTTGCCAGAGGAGGATGCTGTCTTTCTGGACATGGTCTTCCTTCTCCCAAGATACTCATGCAATACCATTTAGAGACACCACTGTAACAAGTGCATGCAGCTTCCATCTTTCAAACCCACACAGAAAATACAGCGGAAGCCAAATCACCACTGGTAGAGAAAAGGTAAGCCAAGGGCTCCCTCCCTCAAAACACTCCTACCCTTTGGGCACAATCACTGCCTCTGCCCAACCTCCAGGCATGTGTACGCACTCACTCATATATAGATGTACAAGCATTCAGGAGTGCTTAACATATATACTTTAGGGGGTAAAAAAGGCATGTATACACAGCTCATAAGTACACACATACATTCATATTTGCACACACAGGCAGCTGTGCTATAGTTCCCATGTCTCCACTAAGTAGTACAGGTTAAATTTCACACAACACTAGATATGGTTGTTCATGCTTTCCCATACTCTTTAGGAGATCAGAATTGTATAGGTCCTATCACAAGAGGTACCTGAATTTTAGAGTCAAACAAACCTTGACTCTCTCATTTCCTAGTTGGGTGACCTTGGGCAAGTAAGTTAACCTTTCTGTGTCTCAGCTCATCTATAAAATGGGAAAAACAACACCTACTTCATGGGACTGCAATGAGGTTTAAGATAATGGTTATGAACAACCTAGCCCAATACTCAGTATATACTAAGTGCTCAGTAAATGCTACTGCTATTTGCTCCTTCCATCCTATTATTTTCTTTGTGGATAATCGGTTCAATTATCTCAGCATCAAACCAGCTAAGAAAAAGGGTGAGCACTGACTATGGAGCTGGTCAATAAAAGACAGCAAAGCCTTCTCCTCTGGCCACCCCTTCCCCATGTGTTGGTTCAATCATGTCCCACCTTTGGTCCTCAAGGTGACAGTATGGGCTGTCCAATTCCACAAAGGCCCAAGTTAATATTTGAACAACCCCAAGTAATTAAATGAGCACTGGCCTTGTTGGCAACTCTGTTGCTGGACAGACCATGTATTCCGTTTCAGCACACGGACTGAGCACCCACCCTGATCAGCCCCTGCAATCATTGCTTTCTTACATCAAATCCTTTCAAGATACCATGGGAGGAAACAGTATCTCCATAAGTCACCAGAGAAAACAGGAGTAGAATAAGGTTCAGTGTCAGTCACAGAGCTACTCGGTGATCAGGCCAGGATGCAAACCCTGGCCTGCCTGCTCCAGTGTCAGAGCTCCACCCTCCACAGTGTGTCTGCTTCTGAGGTAACAGGCAGATGAGGGCCACTCTGACAAGGCTTGGGCTCCCTGAGCCCACCTCAAGGGTTTCTAAGTAATCTTCCTTAGCATCCCCCAAATGGGACAGGGATGACCATATCAAGAGTGACAAGGGGTAGCGTTTCCTTATTCCAAAGTTCATGATGAAGCACTGCCCCTCTGCTCTGGGCTCCACTCACAGAGGCCAAGAGCTGGGTCCTGCTGTGCAACCTGCAGGCTGAGACACACAGCTACGGTGCAGTTTTTCAGAGCTCACACAGGGCCAAGATGCCCATGGGCTTATGACTCATGGTGACAGTGGCTTCTGAAGATATGAGCTTTCGGACTGTCAACCTCCATTTCTACAGAGGTCAGATGATTCTTGAAAGATATTCCTTTAACGTTATTTTCTTGCACCTCTCCACGTCCAGTTCTCCCTTTCTTTGTGGACAGGATGGGTGCTGGTCTTCATTAGAAATCTGGATACCTGGTGCTTGTCTGTTGACCCCACAACCGGGACTTCAGCAATGTAGACCTATCAAGATGGAATCTAGCACCTGGCATGATGAGGACTCTTCTTCCTGAGGCCCGCCTCTAGGGGAGGTCTTGTAGGTATATACTGTGGACCCTACAGACCAAGTGACTGGGCCCAACCTGCCTTGTGCCAGTTTCCACAAGAATACGCCAGAAACAATATGTGTTCTGTTATCCTTAGAGTAATCTCTGTCTCCACAGTTAGGAAGGCCAAGAACAGTCCAAAGACCTTCTACCTCACTGTGTATGCTACTGCCACTGTTCCTATGGCCACAGTCACCATGGCTGCAGCTGTGTGGCAAAAGGTCTGAGAGAGCTATGCAGACAGGCATTCAGGCAGAGATGGGTGCTCTGGGTCCCTGCAAGTGCTGTGCCTCATTAAACCCAGGGACCATACCCTACTGCCACTGAACTGACAGATGAATCCCCTTCAGGGACTGAGAAGCCTTAAGAAGAAAAGTGAAGAACTTCCAAAAACAGTGCTGGTTTTCTCTGCAAGGAATCAGGATAATGTAGGAAGCAGTATAACGAGAATGACAAAGACCCAGATGTGAGCCTCAGCTTGGCCACTCTGAGCCAAGTTTCCTTCCCAGTAAAGTGAGAATTAAAAAACATAGACTTGTAGCTGTAGTCTCAGCTACTTGGGAGGCCAAGAGGACAGGATTGCTTTAGCCCAGGAGTTTGATTCCAGTCTGGGTAACAGACTGAAACATAATATCTAAAATTTTTTTAAAAAGACAACCCATTAGAAATGCAGGCCAAATACAGGAATAGACAGTCCACAGAAGGAATACAGTCAATATAAATGTAAAAAAGAAATCTCAGATTTACTAATAAAGAAACACACATGCAACATGCACAAATCAGCTTCAGTTTTGCAATATATGCCTAATCTTGTTTTATATCTACTGATCACCATGACATTATCCCCTTTGGATTATTTCAAAAGAAATCCTAGACATTATAACTTCATTTTATCCATAATATTTCTCAGTTTTAAATGTTTTGATGAGACTACAGCTACAAGTCCATGACAGGCTAATGTTTATTTTTACCTTTTTAGAGATGGGATCTCACTCTGTTGTCCAGGCTGGTCTTGAACTCCCAGCCTCCAGTGATCCTCCCACCTTGGCCTTCAAATGTTCTGGGATTACATGAGCAAGCCACTACATCTCTTCCCATTCACTTTAACAATAATTTTGATATGCTTGGTTTTATTCTTATCTTAATGCATTGCTTAGAACCTCCAGGATAATACTAATTATAAAAATTTAAAGAATGCCCAGCCTTGTTTTCAGACTGTAATGAGAATGCATGTAATGTTTCACTGATTATTCCTGTAGAGATATAAATAAAGACTGATTATTCCTGTAGAGATCTGGTAAATATCACCTATCATGTAAATAATTCTTCTATTCAGAGCTTATTAATAGTCATTTTATTATTTGCTTTTGAGAAATAGATTTGGTATAACTTTTGGTGTTTTGTTTTTATTTGTTTATCTATTTTTTGAGAGGCAGGGTCTCACTGTGTTGCCAAGGCTGGCCTTGAAATCCTGGGTTCAAGTGATCCTCCCTTCTTATCCTCCCAAGTAACCAAACTATAGGCATGTGCCGCCATGCCTAGCTTGTATTACTTTTTAATAAGTCTTAATAGGTTGCAATTGTTAATCAAAAATTAATTTCAAAAGTCTTCTATAACATTAATTTTCTATGTGAAATAAGCCAGATACAAAAAGAAAAACAAATACATGTCCTATGATTCCACTTATATGAAGTACCACAGACAAAAATTACAGTAAAGGTTCCCAGGCAGAGGGTAGAGAGAATAGGGAGTTTTTCCTTAATGGGTCTAGAGTTTCTGTTTGGAAAGCTGAAAAATCTCTGGAGATGAATGGTGGTGGATGGTTGGAAAACAATGTGAATGTACTTAGCACCACTGTATTATACACTTACAAATGTTTAAAGTGGAAAGTTTTATGTTAGTTATGTATATTTCACCAAAATGAATATAATGCAATGGGGCTGCCTCTACATAGCAGGGGAGGGACAGAGAAATAAATACTACACTTTTAAGTGTAAAAAAATAAAATAAAATAAAACATATACCTCACTGGGTGATTTTATGAATTATATGATAAAATGTGTGCAAATAGCTTGGAACATTCTGGCACATAGGAAGTGTTCCACACTTGGTAGTTATTAAATAACTACCTTAGCATCTCAAAGGTCTACATGCCAAGGCAAAGAGCTTGGGTAATTTAAAAAGGAAAGTGTTATTTGGTTTTATCACAGAGAATGGTACGTACAACTTCAAAGGTTTCACCAAGACAGGGCTTGTTTGAGTGGAGTGTTGTGATGGAAGGTTCTGAGTTACTGGACCAAACCAATGCCCCTAGTGCTGGTGCCTGTGAAGCATACACATGAAAAACTACATTCAGACACACACAGGCCAGGACACAGATGTGTCTCATTGCCCAGGCTTGGTACCAAATAGCGGTGAAATCTTCGGAAAGTTAGTTAATCTCTCTGTGCATCCGATTCATTATCTGTAAAATGGTTAATCAAATTATTTTACGATTATACACTAGATTATTAAATAAATATTAACATCATGTTTGTTGCTTTCTTTTGATAACATGGGAAGTCATAAAATTTTAAATGATAAAAGCGTGATATAAAATTGCATACAAATTATCAACATTAACAATTAAGAGAGACAGAAACACTGAGAGAGAGAGACCCTGATGTTTGAATATCTGTTCCCACCAAATCTCATGTTGAATTGTAATCCCCAATATCGGAGGTGGGCCCTGGTGGGAGGTGAATGGCTCATGGGGAAAGATTTCTCACGAATGGTGGCACTACCCTCTTGGTGCTGTCCTCGCAACTGTGAGTTCTCACGAGACCCGGTTCTTCATAAGTCTGCGGCACCGCCTCTCCTCTCTTGCTCACTGTCTCCCGCTTTGCTTTCTGCCATGATTGAAAACTCCCTGAGGCTTCACCAGAAGCTGGGCAGATGAGAGCATGCTTCCTGTAAAACCTGCAAAATCCTGAGCCAATTAAACCTCTTCTTCATAAATTACCTAGTCTAAGCTATTTATTCATAGCAATGCAAGAATGGCCTAACACAGATCTAAAACAAAAGAGAACAATATCTGGAAGGAAATATTAGCAATGGTAGTGCCTGGATGGTATGGTGCTTTTTATTCCTTTAATTTTTTTTATGGTTTAAAAATTTTCTATAATGAGTGTTATTGTTTTTATAATCATTAGCAATTAACTTGCAGAAAAAATAAAAATACAAACTAGAAGTTAAAAAACTAGAGTAAAAACGATCCCGTAATGCCCTTTGGTGGCACTGCAGACACAGTAGGGGAAGGTAGATATGAGTCTCCCACCTTCCCATACCCTCAAAGGAAACCTAACCATAGCCTAATGTAAACTTCCTGATGTTTAAAAGACAATTCAACATTTAAAAATCCAACATTTTTTTTGTGCGGGCCAAAAAAAATTCACGGGCTGAATGTAACCCACTAGTTTTGATCTCCGTACTTTAGCATAGGAAAAAAAGGAAGAAACAAAGGAGGGAGGGAAGGAGTTTATTTCATAATAGAATTTATTCTTGGTGTCCTTTAAATTGCAAGCTCCCCAGTTTAAGAGAAACATGATTTGATTGAAGAAATAATTCAAAATTTATGTCATTTTTAGGAATATATTTTGTGCCAAAAATAAAGCATGCCAATTTTTGAAAAACTGATTCTAGAAGGGACTACTGAATTTAAAATGATGCATCCAACATCTGCTTCAGGACTCACGACTCACTGCCTGCCACTCACTTGCTCTCCCGCTCCTACCCTCTTCTTGGCCCAGCTTCAGCCAGGTGCTATGCGGTGCAGGGAGAGGACGCAGACTGGGTTACTACACTTCAGCAGTTCATAACCTCACGGGCTTTCCCCATGAGGACCTTTCCTTGATCAAGTCAGTCTCCTGCACAATCTGGGCACTCTTGCATGTCCAGATTGGAGGGTTGATTTGCATTTTCAAACTCAAGGTACTGGAAGCCCCCAAGGTGGAATGCAGACCCTCCCCACAAGGACCTCATATCCTCTCCATAAGCATCAGGAGTGCCGTTTACCTTAGTGGCCTTTAGCTTCCATTCGTACTGATTCCGTTCATTTTCTAACTCTTCCACTTTGATTTTGAGGTGCCTGAGCTCTTGTAGTAACTCCTAGACGGATGAGGGAGAAAGATGAAGTTCTGATGGTTAAAAGGTTGTGCTCTCGATTTACCAACCTGGTTAAGCTCATGCATAGAGGATGCAGCAACCACATCAAGCTCCACTTAGCAGCTTTCATCTTTAAACATGGCCTTTGTTTTAGGAAAGCTGTATGGCCTTTAAAAAACAAAGACCAGGGAGCTCCAGACATAAGAAAGTGAAACCTTTCCATTTAGTTTTAGAACCTGTTCTGCCTGCCTCTTTCTCTGACAGCTGTGTCCTCTGCAGGGTACTCCAGCATCACACACGTGAGTATAGGGAACCAGGCAGGTGAGGCTTCAGAGTGGGAAGAACAGAGATGCTGAAATGAGGAAGCTTCTTCCCTGCGATGCAAAGTAGTAGGAAGCAGGCTAATTGGGACCATCTCTTTGTGCTGGGAGTGAAGGAAGCCAGAAGAGGGGGTCTGTGATCCTGGAAGGCCTCATAGAGGAAAAAATGACACCCTAAGGGAACAAATGTTAAATGCCAAATACGGGTGCCATAATGTGTGCTCCAGTTCAGAGGAAGAGGTTGGTTTGAAGAAAGAAGGGAGGGAGAAGGCATCCGGGGGGAGGGGGCGTGTAAAGATAGGAGGCAGAAAGGGAGGTAACTTATGGGGCTGGAGCTGAGGATGGGTGCAGGCACACAGTGGAAGATGAGGCAGGGAAGTTAAGGTGGGACCTTAACATAAAGGCTTGAGGATGAAAATATGTATGATGAGTTCCAATGCCATTTTTTGGACAGTAGAGAGTCATTGAAGGTTGCTGAGTGGGGAAGTGACACAAACAATTTTCTCTTACTCATGTAGCTAGTAAGTGGTGGAGTTGGAGTTTAAGCCCATATATTCTGACTCTAGGACCCTTGTTTGTGAAACTACCCCTTCGATAAAGACGACACCACTAAGCACTGTTATCTTGAACCAATATTTCCTTAACAGACCATTGGTCCTGCTAACTAGCTCCCATCAGAAGAATTGGCATAAAGATAATCATTTCCATAGGCTTTCTGAACTACAGTCTCACACGATAAACTTCCTACTTACCATCACATGGATGCTGCACAGCCACCTCCCAACTGTCATGTGCCAAGTGGAACCCTCAACTCCCCTCGTAGTCACTCTCCTCACTAAATGCCATATCTGTCTACCTAACAGCCTATCCAGAAACATAGGATCTATCCTAAGCATCTCCCTCCCCCTCCTCCCCTATGTATGCAATTTCCTCCCAAGTTTTATTAATTCTACTCCCAGAAAAACAACTTGAATGTCTCATTTCTTTCCCACTCAGCCACCACCACTCTGGTCTAGCAATTAGCATTTATAGCCTGGACAGTCAATTCATTGGTTACTCCTCTGTTGTCTTGTTCCTCTCAAAGCAATTGACCCCGCGGCATCTGGGGGAATCATATGAACAAACCATACATCATCAGATCATGGCACTCCATGCTTCTCAAAGATCATAAACTTCAACCCATGACCTGACTCAGCTCCCTGCCTGCCTCTTGGATCACTCTTTCTCCCTAGTTATGCTCTAGCCACATGGATAATTTCATCAGTTCCTCTCTTCAACTTAGGTCTTTGCAGTCAACATTCCCTCTGTCTGGACTTTTCTGCCAGGTTAACTCCTGCCTATCCATCAGGTCTCCCTGAGTTAAACTATCCCGACCTCCACACTATATCAGGCCCCTCTGTTATATTCTCTTGTTGTACCCTGTGTACCTCCTCGTAATTTGCAATTCAATGTTTATTTGTATGATGGCTAATGGCTAGCTCTCCGCCTAAACCGCAAACTCCATGAGGCATTTGCTAACCTCTGATTATTCTGCAGTGCCTGGCACATAGTAGGTGTTTACTATTTTGTCAATGAATGCACACATGAAACTCAAGTCATTATTTAACTGGCCTTGAGTTTTGTAAGGTCATTTATTAAGACTGCCTTATAGCTGAGGTGAGCATTTGCTGGTGCCCGTTAAAAACCAACCAACCAACAAACAAACAAACAAAAAAAAACTTCTGGCCAGGTGCAGTGGCTCACACCTGTAATCCCAGCACTTCGGGAGGCCGAGGTGGGTGAATCACTTGAGATCAGGAATTTGAGGCCAACCTGGCCAATATGGTGAAACCCATCTCTACTACAAATACAAAAAATTAGCTGAGTGTAGTGATGGGTGTCTGTAATCCCAGCTAAGGAAAAGAAAAAGAAAATCGCATCCATGATCTGCATCACAGGACGTCAAGGCCTCAGTTACTGCTTTGACTTGCAGCAGACCCAGAATCATTCTCTGAGAATATTACTGGCCCTGCCTGAGAGGTTCCAATGCCCACAAGTTGGGTGTTCTTCTGCTCAGCTTTGTATCCTAGCCAGGCTACTCAGTTTGTTGGAGAGGGTGTCAGGCAAGCTGATATCAGAATCAGAAGAGTGCAGGTTCCTACTGCCTGAGGGGCTGCTACTATGGGTACACAGAGATCATCCTTTCCAGGCTCTGTGACCTCTGGAACATCCTCTTCCTTCCATGTTACTTCTTGTCCATCATTGACTACCAACACTAGTACACAATTTTACCTTCCTTTAGAAGTCTTGCTGGAGAAACCTACTCAACCTGGGTCATGCTCCAACAACTCCTCCAGGCTTCTCTATCCAAATCTACATTTACATCTTGACTTTCACATTTTCCCCCTGTCCTTTAATGCAGCAGGAAATCTTTCCCACGGACTCCCTCCCCCAATGCCTATGTCTAGATTCTCAACAGGTTCCCTAATTGAGTATGGGCCATAGTAACTTCCTACAGAGCCACGGTATCCTCTGTAGTACTCATGGCTGCTGTAACCTCAGTCTTTTCTTGAGGGGCTTCCAAGTCCTCTTCAACAGTAGGCCCCCTTGGAGGTATAGGCTTGTCTCTGCTGAAGCTGTCATCACCTGCCATCAGCAAAGTCACAGAGAACCAGGTCACCCCCATGTGGAGAGCCAAATCTAGAATCCCAGTCAGGTATCCCCCTGCATGGCCCAGTGGCTATAAAATCACCCTGATGTGATTATGTGGGGGGATATTTTTCCTGGAAATTCAGATGATGACTTAATTATTCACAGCACATGGAAACTTGTATTTTGTTTTTGAACATAAACTTGAAAGGATTCTTTTTCATGATACTTTTCTTCTCAAAAAAAAAAAAAAAAAAGAATCATGTAAAACAAAACTTTGTTTAATCTCCCAGCCTTGGAGGAAGTATCAGTATCTGAGTCATATATCTGGGAAGGGGAATCATGAGGCTCCCTGTTGCACAAACGCCCCATCACTCAGAGCACCTGGTGTACCTCATTTCCAACCCTAAGGGAGATGAGTGTCACCTGCTTGAGGGTTGGCCTTACCTGCTCAGACCCTGCTCAGTGAGGGTCACTGAGCTCACCTCACATCCCAGTAGGAGTGAGTCAGTCCAAGCTCTGCCCAGAGGTAACAACAGGTCCATGCCAAGCCACTGCACTCTGTTCTGGTTAGGAGAAACCCCAGCCCCTCCACCAGTGAAATGTCCCACACACGCATGCTCTGATATACTTAAGTGTGGTTCCTACAGGTGACCCCTCCCGACAGGCACAGTCCTGGCTGCAGGGCTGGGGCTCGGCCACATCGTCGCTGGCCGCCACCTCCTCAGGGTGGTCCCTACTGAGCAACAGGCGCTCCTGGATCTGCCTGTGGATGTCCAGCTGCAGCCTACACATCTGCTCCTGCAGCTCACTGATCACATTTAGAACTGACTGTAGGAAGGAAAAGAAAGAAGAGACAAGCACTCCAGGTGAGACAGCTCTCAGATGCACAACTCCTTAAGAGAATGGCACAGAGGAAGTGTGCATGGGGCGGGAGGCAGGTGGCACCCAGTGGTCACTGTTGATGGTCCTCTACTTCCTCACCAGAACCAAAAGACATGGCATTTTTCTTCAGGCCTGCCCCAACCAGGGGCCTGTCTTGAAGTTCGGACAAATCCCCAACAGCTCCTTTGTGCCATACTGTTGTGGTAATGCTGAGGCATTTCTTCTAGATAAGGGTCTAGAAGAAACCCTTCATACAAGCAGAAGCAATAGCAGAGATGGGTGCACACCAGGGGCACACACATGGACACATCCCCTCTCCACATATACCTCTCCACATGCTACACACACCGAGTCCCCTTCCCCAAACACCCAATGTGTCAGCACCTGTGCACAGGAGACATGGCACACATCACACTTATCCATGACAATACATACCCAAACCCTAAACTCAGGCACCAATATGCCTATTTCAGCATATTTATCTTATATTCCTCCATCTTTTCTAAAAGATTATCCCAAGCAATGTTCTTGCAACTTTTCACTGATGTGTGGATTTACCTGGTCTACCACAAGACACATTCCCGGCCAAACCAAAAAGGCCAATCTGATGTGCACTCACTCCTTAAGGACACAGATCCCTACTTTGTCTCCTAGTTTCTGGCAAACCATCACAGAGTTGGCCCCAAACTCAATAGACTAAAATTTATTGAACCTATCAAACTTTTGCCATTTTGAAAATCAAGAAGAACATGGTTAATTTCCAGTTTTCTAGCAACTGATTTGATTTTTCTGATTCATTAAAATTCATTTAATGAACACTTTGGACGACTACTGTCCTAAACTTTTTGTACCTGTCAGAGGCATCAGTGGAATCAAGGCCATTTTTTCTTTGATTTTCTTATTAAGAACACAACTCGTGTGTGTGTGTGGCTTTGTGTTGTCCTCAGCATTGTCCTCCTTTAGTTTGGGATGTCCCCTTCCTGACACTGGTCATGCAAGTGCACTTTTATTTGTCTTTAGGATATGTCCTTTCTGCCTTTTGTACAAGCCCCTCTGAACACTACTTCCTTTCAGGACACCTCTGAGTGCTTCCTTTTTGTTGGTATTATCTGGGAGATTGCACAGTCAGGATTATATTTAAGTCGTTCAATATTCTTGGGTCTTCTTCTGTTCGAGAGTTCCCCATTTTATTTTTAAACTGTCAGTTATGATTTACCCAAGTATACAGTGCATGTCTGTTTATGCCTAGGTTTTTTCATGCTCACTCTTGTGAATTTTCAAATAACAATGAGCACTTTCTCTCAAGTTACCTATCACTTTTACTTCATAAACCAGTTTCTCCCTTTGCTTCTGTATTGGAGCTAGAATGGCAGTTTTCCTAGTTTTGTCTTTTACCCTCTGAATAAAGTATAAACCATTGAGAAAAACAAACAAGTAAATATTCAAATGCTTTAGAATGCAGCTAGGAGATGTTTAGGAGCTAACCAAATAGTTGCTGCTCCCTCCCTCCATCACTGTCCCTTGTCTGCACCAGTCAACTTGGAGACCTGCATCAGGAACGCATCTATTTTCCTCCATCTACTCAGTAACCGAAATTTCTGGGCTACTCTGCCTTAACTCTCCCTAGCTATATGTTGTCATTGTTTTCTGGTATATGTCTGTTCTCAGGCTTGGCGTTTCAACTCAGCTTCATAATTTTTTATTTTTTTTTGAGACAGAGTCTCGCTGTGTTGCCCAGGCTGGAGTGTAGTGGCGTGATCTCAGCTCACTGCAACCTCCACCTCCCAGATTCAAGCGATTCTCATGTCTCAGCCTCCCAAATAGCTGGGACTACAGGCACACACCACCATGTCTGGCTAATTTTTATATGTTTTAGTAGAGACCTGGTTTCATCATGTCAGCCAGGATGCTCTCAAACTACTGACCTCAAGTGATCCCCATGCCTCGGCCTCCCAAAGTACTGGGACTACAGGTGTGAGCCACCACGCCTGGCCTAGCTTCACAATTCTTTATCTTCAGGGCTGGCCCATCTCCTCTCTTAACAGGTCTGTTTTCCCTCCCATAAAGCAGACCCTTTTGTAGCTCTGTTCCATTCTGGGTCCCACAGAATAACATCTAGGTGTCATTTATGAGGTTATAATTGCTGTCTTGTGTTGTAACCTCAGCTCACCTTGTTTTAAATCATACTTTGCCGACCATTAAAGCTCTTCTTTATGATTCTTTTCTACGTGAAACTATTGGGCATCTCCCATAATCACAGTTGTTTCCAATCCCATCTTACCTGCTAATCTTGTACACAATTTTACTTAGTTCTTTCTTTTTTTTTTTTCAGGCTCAGTTTAATACTGTCCTGGCACTCTTATACATTACATTGCTCATAGGAATATAACCTCTATGCTCTAGAGAGGGCAATTTGGAAATATCTGTCAAAATTTCAAGTTCCTGTACCCCTTGACCCATAAATTCCACATCAATATATTTACATATATACAAGATTATTCACTAAAGCATTATTTGTAAAAGCAGAAACTTGGAAACCACCTAGATGTCCACTGAGAGGGGACAAGTTAAATAAATTAGGCTATAGTTGGATGGTAGAACAATATGCAGATATGGATATGAATGAGGAAGTTTTTAAAAACATAGTTGGTGTGAAAAGAACTCTAAGACTGCTAAATTTAAAAAGAAAGGTCTACAATAGTGTACATTTGCATAAAAATGAGGAAAAGTGTGTGTGTGTCTGTGTATATCCACATGAATGTACCTGTCCATGCATAAGATGACTCTGGAAGGGTACAGACTGATGGCAATGGTTCCTGACTGCCGACTGGAGGACAGGTGTTGAAAAAGGTCTTTTGCTATATACCTTTTGAACTCTTGACTTTTGAATTGTGGGAGTACATTTCCTATACTGATACAAATGAGTAAACAAAGAAAATAAAAACAAGAATAATAAAACTCTCCTCCTTAGGCCAGCTCATTTCTGAGCAAACAATCTTTCTAGATCTCGCTCTATATTCCAAGTCCATCATTCTGTTGCCTCAGTTCAGAAATCAGAATCCCTTTCTCCCAAGGTCCTAACCACAAGGAAGAAGGAATGAGGGCATCATCACTTGTGCTATAAGATGTTTCCATTTTCTGCAGGAAATCCTTAAGATTCTTTCCTGTTCTCTTCTTGCTCATGTGTACCCCTGATCAGTTGGGCTGACTCCTCTTCCTAGCATACTGGGGGCCCTGTTCCCTTAACAGGGTGCTCTGGTAACTACTCACAGAACCCTCTGTTGCCACAGTGGGGTCCAGCTGCAGGTTGCTGGCACCCCCACAGCATGGGGAAGCCAGATTCCTTTCTTGGGGAAGATTCATCTGAGCAACATGCTTTTGCAATGCTTTGGCCTGTGTCCACACAGAGGCTTTCCTTTACCTCTGGATCTCTTTCTTTCATGCTCCATTCTTTGATTTTAGTATTTATTTTCATTGTCAATCACTCTTTCATAGTCCTGCTTTTCAGGAGTACGTCTAATTCATCCAATCTTCAGTACCCTCATATGATCCCAAACCATTGCAAAAGGCTGACGAGAAAAGGTAAACAGGAAACCCAGTACTCACCGACATCTCATTTGGGCCATTACTTACTCCTGAGCAAGTGTGGCTATCAAGGAACCTGCGCCTCCAAGTCCTTAGGTCTTACAGAATGACTGTCAGTAATCACTTCCACAACTTACAATGAGCAGCAGGACGGTGGCTTAGGCTATGATCAGAACCAGAGTAGAAAGAGCAGCCTGCAATGCCCTTGCCACCAGCATTCTCTTCTTTTCATTAAACATAAAACAGAATTTGAGGATAAAGCCTAAGCTAAACTGAGGAAGTTTATTTCATATCTGCCTTCCTCATACCTAAGGAAAAAAAAAAAAAGAATCCTGCCTGTTCCAAACCACACACAATCAGCCCTCAGGCTAAGTACATTCACTGGAAAAAACAGCAGCAGTATAATATGGGAAGTAGCGTTCCCTTTATTCATGCAATTACAAACTCTGGTGACCTTAGCCAGCAAAATGTTTCACTCAAAATAAACATCTCCATGCACATGGCGATAGTGCAGCTTTAGCAGCACCCTGTGGTTTTAAACCCCTGGTGATCCATGCTCCAGACACTCACAAATAGAGGTAGAAGTTCTGTGCATACCGGCAAAGATTTTGTGCAATTACAAGAATGAAGAATTGGTTTCAGGTCATGTGGCTGCTCACTGATTATCACAGGTTTGAACAGCCTACAGAATTCCTCCACGTGGAAACCTAATATTTGTACTAGCAACTGGGAAGGGCTGTTATCTGGTAGGATTGAGGCCAGATGCTCAGGGTCTACGTTGCCTTATTTCTGAGCAGACCGATGGAAAACAACAACAAAAAATTCAGATTTAAAAATAATCTTTCAGAAAAGAAAGAAAAAAGCAAACAGTAAAATGACTGTGTTAGTGCATCTTGTCTCAGAAGTGGGAGCGCTCCTTCCTTTCTGATGTCCCTGTAGAGGGACTGCATTATCCCAGCTTGGTGCTAACCCTGCATACTTCCACAGATGGACTGACTTTCAAACTCATACCCACCACCTCCCATGCACGGATCCCTGTGGTGACTGGTGTAGAACCAGGCATATGATCCAAAGTGGCCCAGTGAGATGCAGCCCTGGGGCTTTTGCTGGAACCTTTGAGAAAGTACCTCTTTGACTGCGGAAGTTGCCTGACTGGCAGGATATCATTCTGGAGCTACTGATGGCCATCTCTGTCACCACTTGGGGAGAGCCTTCTTGAGAAAAAGGCTAAAACAGAACCAAGTGATACAACTGAGACTAATTTCTAGTAACACTGTGAGATTACCTGGATCTAGTCATATTGTATTTTTTAAACTGTGGACTTTTCAAGTGAGGTGACATAGCTCTCTCACCTCCCGTTTTGTCTTAAGTGATCCTGAGTTGAGTATCTGCCACTTTAAGCCTTCTTACAGAGTTGATGGAATTCTGCCCCCCAAGTCCTAATGTGTGTTCACATACAATTGTGCATGTTGAAACGCTAGTAAACTACTTTAAACCAGAAGAAAATTCAATTACTTCTCCCCGAACAGTTAATTCAACTAACACTTCACACAGATTAGCTTTCAGGCTGTGTCAACTTTGCAGCATGTAAATAATGTATGTGTGTCTACATTTTCATTTCCAACATGCTTAACAATACTATCAATTAAATCTAATTACTATGTGCCCAGGACCATGCTAAGGGCTCCACATACATTATCTCATTCACTCCTCAAAATAACCAAAGAAATAGGAAGTATTACTACCTTTATCACACAGAAAAAGAAACGGAGGTTCGGGAGGTTAAATTACCTGCCCAAGATCACAAAGCCACTGAGCTCAGTTCAAAGGTGGGAGATTCGATTGATTAGCCTGCACTCTTAATCAATACAAGCTACTATTCTCAACTTATTGGTGATATCTTCTTTTGGCATCTGTACTTCTAATTAATGAACATGTTCTCAAAAGCAATGCAAGGAATATGCTCACACATTAGAAATATTCCAATCACCAGTGTGTTTACTTAGCAAACATGGCAGGTATCAGTATGCAGTAATGCTGGCACTTATCAGAAGGAAACAGTATCTGTCTTTAGCCTAACTGAAGGAAGGAGATGAGGATACAGCAGGTATCGACAAAATGCCAAATACTATGACAGGTACTTAACTTCCATGATTTTATTTGGACTTTACGAAAGCTATCCACTTTACAGATAAAGAAATTGAAATTGAGAGATTAAGTAACCAACTTGAAGTTCATAGAACTATTAAGCAGTTAGGTCAGTAAATAAGCAAGGTGTTTTTAAACCTAAAACCTATCTTCTTTCATATCTCTCATTTCTAGGTGTGAATATAAGAACTTAAAGGTAGAGGCACATGAAGACAGTTATCTAAGGTTAAAACATGCTGCCTGCTCTCAAAAGAGCTCTGAGCCTAAAATTCTGTAAATATTTATTTTAAAAAGAGTCTGGCATGCTCTAGTCAATGGCATACAAAGACTGAAAAACAAAAATTGGAAAACATTTTCTAAGAGAAGGCCTGCTCATGGGCCGCTCCATGAGACCCATCAGGAGAAAAGAAACATATAACCTGAGGGTTCCCACCGGGTCAGCAAAATGCATGTCAAGAAATGTTTCCAGACTCCTTGGACGTGTAGTGACAATGGCCTACTGGGAGGCCGACTTCACCCCTGTACGTTGTCATTACCTTGGGCCTCTCAGAAGACATCTTGAGTCCCTCCACATTTTGTCTTATTCTTCCCCAACTATTGCTTCTCTTTCCATCCTTGTCAGCAGTTTGAGGGAGGATAAAGCCTTAGAGCCAAAATTGGGTGGTTTGGATATTGCTGAAATTTGCAGCCACAGCAAAACCTGATAACTTGGTATTAACAGATCACTGCATCTCTGGTGTATAGATATTTCTGGCACCCAATAGCTTCCAGGCTGGGAGTTGACCAGATAGCCTAAATTCACATTATGACAGCCTTCCCATGTCTGAGCTTAGGACAGTACAAGATCATCCTCACCTCTGCTTTCCTCTGCTTCTCCTCCTGCTCTCTCTGCTCCTTCTCCATGCCAACCAGCTTGAGCTTCAGCTCAGACACTTCAGTCATCAGATCAAGCTTTTGGGTCTCAAGAGATGTGCGGCTTAGCAGCTCCTGCAAGCAAAAACAGATCTCGAAATCAGAAACCACCATGTCAATAAGAACAGCTCTGGCTTCATCTATAGCACATAAGGCAATACCTAAGTTGTGTGTAGACTGCTGCCTATGAGTCACAGGCCTACTATGGATGGGCCCGGGCTGACGCTGGGCTACTCAGGGATAGCACATTCCCGATACCACCCACCGTACTTAAATAGACAAGGTGAGCTATATTTCTCAACTAATATGTTTGCCCGTAGAAACCATTATTCATTATTTCCATGTGGAGAAAAATGAATGGGTACTTTCAAAGAACCAAATTTCTCAATTTTTTAAAAGACAAAGCAGCAGGTCCTCTCTATCAAAAGAAACAAAAATGCTTACATTAACAATATATTTTTTTCAAAGCCAAAATTTCTAGATCACCTCCTGGGCTCAACCAATGCTCAGCCCAGTCTTCAACACGTTTCAATACAAGACTTCACTGCAATGAACCTAGACAGGAGCTAGAACATAAAATACATGTTCAGAGAGTATTGAATGATTATGTGGGAATCTTATGTGACATGGATCTTTCCTGGGCTGTTCCAAAATTATAATCTGGCCACTCTGGAATGTAAATAAGAAAACTGTTCTTTCCCAATTGTGAGGACAGACCAGGGAGGTTATTATTAGTCCTGCCATCACGGGGACAGTAGCAAACTATAAGCAGATAACCCAGGTCTTTGACAACAAACCTGTCACTAATAAAAACACTTAATAAGCATAAACAAGGTAACAAATAAAGGTGATAGGCAAGACACCCAATTAGAACTAATATGAATTATAAGGAACCTCAAAAATCAGGAGCATTTCCTAAAGTCCAGGGCAACATATTTTTCCCATTGGCAAAGGGTAATGTCCTATGAGGTTGAAAATCCTGGCACATGGTAGACATTGGCTACATTGGATCTGGCAAGGAGAACAAACCAGGCAACCATGAGAACAATGGGCCAAATGAACAGAGGAAAATACAATATCCTGCCATGGTCTGAACATTCTGTATCATCTTGGGCAACCCAAGCTCAGCACAAGAATGGAAATCTCAACACTCTTACTCAACCATTATGAGGTCACAGATTCCGAACTGTCCTCAGAGCATGAATCAAACCACACAAGACAGAGATTCTTGACTTGATTCCCAGGCCAACAGCCTGGGAAACAGCCTACCTGGGAAAGGTAGGTTACAAACTGTTCATCTGCTAGTCTGAGAGGATGGGTATCTATCCAGTAGCCCAACAACTTCTAGAGCATAATGAGCTCCCCCAGCTCTGGGCTAAGGAGGCCAGCCACACTCCAGACTCCAGTTGGCTGGAGCTCCAGCTGGCTCACAGGCAGAGGCAGAGCACCGCAGACAGAGCTACAGGCTACTTGGCCACAAGGAGTCAGCCAGATGAGTGTGTCCAATGCAATGGAGAACTGAAATTTGTTCAGTGCCTCCTCTGTACCAGAGACTGCTGGTGCTCTTATATACATCTTCTTAATAAACTCTCCCAGCGAGTTGGCAGTAAACATTATCCCAATTTTACAGATGAGGAAACAGGCCAAGAGAGAATATGTAAATTTTTTGGCCAAGGGCACAAGCCAATCAGCAGCAGAGTTAGTTTTCAAACAAAAATCTGTCTGACCCCAGAAGTCATATTAGTCTGTTCTATCACACTGTTTCCCAAACAGAGAAAGAAATCCAAGGATTTTAAGAGACATTTTTAAAAAATGGTAAAAATAGGCAATCAAATATTCAGTGAGCCCAGGAATTGTCCACTCGAATCGCCAAGATTTCATTGAGCACGTACTACCTATCAGGGCCTAGCACGAAGGCTAAGCAGGCCACGACAAAGGGCCTTAAGCAGTTCTTCCCTGAGTGTGAGGGCACACAAAGTGATAAGTTCTCTGGGTCTTGAGTACATGAGTATCTTAAGATGTAATCATCCCCTACACCACCTGCTCTCTCCCACCTCCTTCCTTCCTTTCCCTACCTCCCACTCTTCCTTTATTAGCCCATTCTCTAGTTCTCCATCCTTTTGCCTACCTACCTTGTTCCTAACATGATTTTAAGCAGTTTGTAAAATAGATATTTCAAGTTAAAAAATAAATCATAAAAATTAAGGCAGGTAGGAAAGTAAGTTAAAGTCAGACTTATAGTCAGTAGAAAATCTATGCCATACACTTCTATAAACAGCTAGAGATGGACTATAATGTACATGTGAGCTTCCTAGTTGCCAATGCAAAGGGGAAAAGGAACAAGTGCACAGTTCAGGGTCCACATGGTAATGCCTCAGATTACTGAAATCTGAGGGGAAAAAAATTCTCCATGAAACTTCATTCATTTATTCAACAAGTATGTTTTAAAAAACCTACTAGATGCCAATGCCTAGAAACATGACAGTTACTAATAAAACGAAACCCCCTATTGAGTACTTGAGCATCTTAAGATGATGCTTAGCCTGGACGCAGCGGCTCATGCCTGTAATCCTAGCTATTTGGAGGCTGAGGTGGGTAGATCACTTGAGCCCCAGAAGTTTGAGATCAGCCTAGGCAATATAGTAGAACCGTCTCTACAAAAAATACACACACACAAAAAAGGCCCCTGTGGTGGCATGGGCCTATAGTCACAGCTATTTGAGAAGCTGAGGTGGGAGGATTTGATTGAACCTGGGAGGTTGAGGCTATAGTGAGCTATGAGCCACTTTAGCCTGGGGGACAGAGTGAGACTCTTTCTTAAAAAAAAAAAAAAAAAAAAAAAAAAAAAAAAAAAAAAAAAAAAAAAAGATGCTCATGTAGCTTTGTCTCCTGATCAGCATTCAAAATACTGCTTTGATAGGATTTTTAAAAGTCTCATAATGTATCTCTTTTGAAAGCTAAGATTCTACTCTGCTTCCATCATTGCCAAAATCCCTCTAGCTATTTTAGCTACCAGGTTGTGATTGGTCATACCAATGTTCCAGCTGATGAAGATAATATTTTCACTGGTTCCAACAGCCATTCCAATTGGTCATGCCAGCGTTTGAATTAGTCACACTAACATTCCAAATACATATTCACAATTGGACACACTAACATTTTAATTAGAAACCTGAGGTTAATTTCATATAGTTCAGTAATAATAGAACATTTATTTACTCTCTTCTAGCTTATATCTATTAGCATGTGCTTCTACCTTTCATGATCATCTTCACCTTGTCCCTGTTATAATTACTGTTCTGGTCCCTAAACTCAAAATCAGACTTCAACAAACTTATCCCAATTCCAGCTCTACTTCCCCATCTCCAGATCCAGCAAGGCCCCTAGTCACTATTATGAACTGTGATCTCTAAAATGTGTGTTTTAATAGGAGTTAGCTTATCCTGCATCCTCAATTGCTCCTTCTACTTCCAACATAAAGTAAATCTTGTTTTTTTCAACAATATTACACCTTCTTCCCAATCATTTCAAGTGGAGACCACTCAACTTCCACCAACCCAATTTATAGAACTCCGTCCTCCCTATTCCAGGGCTGCTTCCAAGCCACTTTTTGGCCTCCTCCGACCATCTGCATCTATCCTCCTATTCTAAGGCAGAGCTCTTCACTTATACCACATTATCCCCAAACACTCAGAACCAGCCCACTTCCTTCAGGCTTCTGTCTTGATCAACAGCTTTTCTACCTACTTTAGGCGCATTCCGTCTCCTCAATAGCTTCCACATCTTTGTTATTAACTTTTCAATTCAGTACCCACTCTGGCTTCACATTCTTTGACCTCAGCTCCAATACGCTTTGCTTTCCACTTCGTTTCAGCTTCTCAGCAGCACGGTCACAACTTGGATCTCATGTTTATCCAGCATGTGTTTCCTTTGCTTCTAAAATCTTCATCTCTGAAATTCTCTCCTCTGGCCACAATCGTCTGACCTTTCCTCTGTCCCACTTGCTCACTCAACCTCTAATTGCTTCTGTGGCCACTAGTTACTTAGTAACTCTCTATTTTCCTGGTTTATCAACTTCCTTGAAGCAATATTAGTCTCCTTATCCACTCTATATTTTGAAGTTGGTCATTTCAAATGTACTCATACCTACAGCAGAAAATCCTCCTAGGAGCTCATCCCTGTCTCCAGGCACCACGTGAGTTTGTCAGTCTTTTGTCTGATTCCACCCTCCATGGCTTAAAAATTGCTAGTGAAAGTCACTTAATGATGCCAGTTGGTTTCCATACAAATTTATGCTATCTAATTACTGCTGATCTTCCAATACTGCCTGGCAAAACTTGTGTTTGTCTCTGGCTGATTCCTTTCAGAAGCTATTCCAAGTCTTTTCTGTTCTGCTCAAGCCTAAACCCCTACCATGTCCTCCTCTTCTCCTCAAATAATCTCTCCTCATATTTGCTGAAAAGATAAAATGCATCTGTTCATTGAATGTAAGTTGTATTTCAAAGTTTCCCAGCATCATTTCTCATTCATGTATCTTAAATTCCTGTCTTAGAGACAGCAAGCCCATAGTTCCTTTCCAAGGCTAATCTGCCACAATTGCACATTGCCATCTTCTCTGCAGTCTTCTTTCACTTTTGAAAAGTGTTCTCTAGCTCAGAAAACTTCCAGCTGCACATAAAAAGTACACATCAAAGGATACAGTGCTTCCAGAATTTGCTCCTGAATTGCCCCTGACTGACCTTCCCGTTTCTGGCTATTTCTCAGTCTCCAGACTCTTCATACATCCCCATACAACTTGATGAACCTTACAGTAACTTCCTGGTCAACCAGCAGCCTTTGGCTCTGTCTCTGAGCTCTGGTCCTGTTTCTCCCTCCAGCTGGTAACTCAGAATGGCTCCTGCTCACATGGTCCTAGATTCTTCCTTACTTCTGTACTGCCTTTGGGCCATTTCCCACCAGGCTTTGTGCTACTCTAGATTAGGGCCATCAATCATCCACTCTGACAGGCATTTAATCTCTCCCTCACCATCAGCTCCCATCCCTCAGGCTATAAACATGATCGAATTTCTGACATT